TGTGTGTGTGTGTGTGTGTGTGTGTGTGTGTGTGTGTGTGTGTGTGTGTGTGTGTGTGTGTGTAGAGATGTTTTGAAAATGTAGACTGTAATTCTAAACTATTCATAAGCGTAGTATATTATAAGGGCAAAGAATGAAGAAAATGATGAAATGATAATCCAACATTTTGAGTTGCTCTTTTAGGACCATCTAGAACGTTGATAAAAGGGGATGTTTGTCAGAAACGATAAAATGTCACTTTCACACAAAAACAACATTTACAGCCCGTCAAATAAAGCATGGATACTGCATACTTGCAGCAGTGGTAGATAAAAAAGATTCTGGAATCCAGGGTAAATAGGATCTACTGCTGGTCATAAAACTAGTTGATAGCTCTCCAGACATCGTGTAGGTGTGCTGTGGAGGTGAAGACAGGTGTGGCTTCCAGATTACTACATGTTCCTAGGAGGAGGAACATACAACACGCACACACACATAGTTTGTAAATGAGTTCATAGCTTGAGAAGTGAACCATGCCAAGGTTATGAACTATACTATAGGACGTTAATTTAATTTCTAGGAGATGAAATAGTATTTTATGGAATGGTGTATTTCTGCACCTTGCCCACTTTAGTTTGTGGATCGGGTATCTTTATTATCCACTTTTAGACTACTTGACCTCCTACATTGTAAGACAGTTTCTTGCAGAGCAATTACTTGACTTAAAGTGTGCATCAGTTTTCAGAGCTTACAATTTAAGGATATCACAGTTTGCAGTATTTTGACCATTTTGACCTGGATAATGGCCATTTGTAATTATGGTGCACATGCACTGTAGCGTTGCATTCTTTCAGAGGGTTAAGGGGTGCAGATATGCTCTCTCTGATTAGAACTATGCTGCAAGCATCTGATGAATATCATACCTCAGATGTGAGCTTTTTATGCGGAAAAGCGGAATTCTGCATTTTTAAACTTGATTCCAGAGATGATGGTTCCTGAGATTCATCAAGGTTAGGTGTTGATAAATGTTCAGAGGCTTTTTTTGAAACCTAGGCTCATGATACCAGGCTTAGCATCTTGGCCCTTTCATCACAGAGCTGCAAAAATAACTAAATTGAAATACATTGTCTCATTATTAAAAATAAATGAATTTCTGATGAATACCAAATATATTATTCAAAATTTCAGATCTGTCGTTGCCCTTGGTGAGAAACAGAGATTTCTAGGAGTAGGTGCCAAGAATCAGGAAGCAACAAATGTGAAGAACACAGTATCAGAATTCAAACGCCTTATTGGCAGGAAGTTCAAAGATCCGATGGTGCAGAGAGAAATAAAACACTATCCAAATGAAATAGTGGAAGGTGTAAATGGGTCTGTGGGCATTAAGGTAAGTTGCCAAACTATAACTGGGGACAATGACGTGCTCATTTGTAGTCAAGATCCAACCTCGGGTCTTGGTAGAATTGAGAAAGGCGTGACTAACTAGATTAACCAGTTCAATTCATGCCTAGGGTGACCTTAAGCAATGGATTATAATAAAGATGAGCACAGGTGTGTCTGTTGTTGAAAAAGGTGTTTGATTAGTATCTTAGTGTTATGACTGCTTGGAAAAAATTATTTTTTAAAAATTGCAAAATTTGGCTTTCTGATGATCACACCTTCCTTTGGAACACTGGAAATTCCCTTAATGCTGTGGATCTTACTTATTATTTTGCTGATGTGTTGTCCTCAAAGTTCAGACTTGAGTCGGACAACATGATCTCAGAAATATCCACTATTCTAGTATGGTGTATGAACCCAGACTATGTCACTCCATGCCTACAAAGCTCTGTCTGATCCTTAAAATAGATAGCTGGCACCAGATATACGCAATAAGGTTTAACACTTACACTTAACCTGGCACAGACAGGAAGATAGTGATGTATGTTACTGTCATCTGCATGTCACTGAAGGACAACCTCCCTTAGTCATTAGCTTTAGCTTTAGCAGGCTTTTAAAGAACACTGCAAATAAGGCAGTGGAAGGGTGAATAAAAACCTACGTCAAACATAAGTTCCTTTTTAATTGCTGAAATTTGATAAAGATGAAAATTGCGCATGTATGTTTGACACATCATTTACAATGAGGGGAAGGTATACAAGATAATATCAAACTAGTCAGAAACTTGCAGTGGTTTGCCACAAACATTGATGTCAGACCTAGTCTTAATGCTAGTTGGGGTCAAGTTGCATAGTTCAAGCTGATGAAGATGTATTTTCTGTAAATGGCATGTGATAATGTGACAGATGATCATATAAGATATATGCCTCTCTGGGACATTGAAATCTAGCTGATATTTCATTCAACAGATGGAATAGTTGTAGACCATTGATATGTATGTGAATGTTAAAACCTATTTTATTTCAAATTAATTTTGTAAAATTGATAGCCATATCTGCAAATTTAATGTCTTTGTTACTAAAAGTGTTTATTTTTGGACCTTAAGTTAGACAAACATTTTAATGAATTTCATTGAGCCAAATAAGGACTTGAATGATGTTTTTTTTTTCAGGCACGTTACTTAGGAGAGCAGCATGTTTTCACAGCAGAGCAGTTAGGTGGTATGATGCTGACCAAGCTTAAACAGACAGCAGAGCACGGAATGGGTACCAAAGTAGTGGACTGTGTTATTTCGGTGAGTGCTTTGTGATCAGGCATGCACGCACACACAGGTTCATGCACACGTTCTAATCTTCGTATGCAGCAGATGCTGTCTTGCCACTTGTCTACCATGCTTTATAAAGGTTTGAAAGTTTTGCAGTCTTTGCAGACAGGTTCTTTATTTTAAACCTAGAATAATAACAAGACCGCAGAGAAGGTTGACCTAATGTCAGTGTAAACACGACTGAATATAGCAGGATGTGGTTGTAGCATGAGTGTCACTTCCACGCAGTAGAAATGATATCTATTCTCTCCAATTTTACATGCATTGGGTGAAAGTTTTCAGTACTATGCCTGTTTTAAGGATTTTTATTCTGCATTTTGACTGTTTTATATACCAAATTATATCTGTCTTAGAATTTCCACTTTTAGTATTACAAATGTACCGTCCAACTTTCGTTTGCAAATAATGATTATTTAATAATGATTAAATTTCTGCTTGATTAGTAATTGTTCTTATTTTTATAGGTGCCAAGTTTCTACACTGATGCTGAGAGGAGAGCTATGATTGATGTGGCCAAGATGGCTGACCTAAACTGCCTGAGGATCATGAATGACACTACTGCAGGTTTGTCTTGCATGTTTGTGTGCTTGCATGTGTATATGAACGCATGCACATAAGCATGTTTATTGTAATGTTTAAACTATTCCGAATTTCTTCATTGCATCAGAATGAAATCTTTTATATTAGAGACTGCATATTTCAACCCACTGCTGCTGCTACACTATACACCAGGGTGGATATTTCATATGCTATATTCATGTTATGTGGCTCTTAGCATGGATGTCTGTTCACTGTGACATTCTTGTCTCTCAACCACTTTACACAGTTTTTATAAGATAATCAATGTATTATTAATAATAATGGCTGAAAGATTCCACAAATCAATGAGTTTAACATTTAAAGAGTACATATATTTTTTATTGTCACACACTGTTAATTGCTTACAACTTTTTCCTCAACCTTTGATGTTGTATCTCGGTGTGGATATTCTTTTAAACTCCAACCATGTAAAAGATTATTGTATTCAGTGAGTTCGTACTTTGTTCTAGCTGCCCTGGCGTATGGCATCTACAAACAGGATTTGCCAGAGGAAGAGGCCAAGCCACGGAATGTCGTCATAATCGACATGGGTTATTCCTCCCTACAGATCTCTGTCTGTGCTTTCAACAAAGGAAAACTAAAGGTATGCTTGCTGTGATGCACTCACCCCAGCTGGCCCAGTGCTAGCATTCCTAATGTTTTTTTGGTTGTTTGTAAATGGGTAACACAAAATTCGTCTTTGATAAAGATTTGAGGAGTAAAGTTTTTCACAAGAAAAAGTTGGGTCCTTTAATGATTATAATGTGCATTTTTGTATGGTATGTGCAGTTTTGTGATGAAACATTTTTTATTATTCTGCAAAAAGACATTTTTTGCTCTTCATTTCTAATTGTTATTAGTGAGTTATTGTTTGAAGAATGAAATGATGTTTCATAAAATGCAGTTGCAATAAAACTGTTCATACATGAGTTCAACATAGTGAAGCATTCAAGTATAGACAATACCCGTTCATCATATGATCTTTGTTCAACTTCATTTATTTTTTTATGTGGTCACCTTTTTCCAGGTATTAGCAACAGCTTGCGATGCTTTCTTAGGTGGCAGGGACCTGGACAGACTTCTTGTGGATCACTTTGCTGCAGAGTTCAAGGAAAAGTACAAGATAGATGTGAAGAGTAACGTGCGGGCAATGGTTCGCCTGAAGACTGCCTGTGAGAGACTGAAGAAGTTGATGAGCAGTAACACGGAGGAGCTGCCAATGAACATAGAGTGTATCATGGATGATAAAGATGTCAGTGGGAGAATGAAACGGTAAACTACTGAAATGGCAACTTTGTTCTAGGCTAATACTAGCACAGAAAACATCTCCAAATGCCAGTTATGTATTGATGTTAGCAGTGTGGGTGCCTGTTATTTTTGATGCTTTGCTGACTTTTAGCAGGTAGTTTAACATGTCTTCTGTTGAAGGAAAAAAACATCAGAATTAGTTTGTTATTTCTATATAACTTTTGTCTTGAGAATGGTTAAAAAAAGGCCAAAATGTGGTTAATATGAACAATTGACCACAGGATAAAGTTTTAAGAACATTATCCAATTTGTCAGCTCTCTCCAAGGTGCAAAGCACTGCTTTCTTGGAAAGTGAAACAGGAAAATGTGCCAAAGGTCCAGCCTTAATATTCTTTTTTTTTTTTTTTTTTTTTTTTTTTTTTTAAATTCAGAGCTAAACTCGAAGAGTTAGCAGCCCCACTAGTAGCAAGAATTGAGACAGTGATGAGACAGGCACTACAATTATCAGGTAGTAATCAAACTAATATATTCATTTACTCATTTAGTTCCTGCTAAAAAATTAAAAAATAAAGAGAAAATAAAAAAGAGAGAATTTTGTTATTGTGGAAAAGATAAAGTTTGAGACTTGAAGGAAGCAAAAGATGCCATTTTGTACATTTCTCTTTTTTGTCCCATCTTATGCTTTGCACATAACATTAGAATTGCGTCACTTTAAAAAAATGATGGAGATCATTAAACTTTCCCTCTTATATTTTCCAGGGCTGAAAACCAGTGATTTATATTCAGTAGAGATCATAGGCGGGTCATCCCGCGTGCCAATAGTGAAAGAGACTGTGAAGAAAGTGTATGGTCTTGAAGCCAGCACGACGCTGAATGCAGACGAGGCAGTGTCGCGTGGGTGCGCCCTGCAGTGCGCTATACTAAGCCCTACCTTCCGTGTACGCGACTTCTCAGTGACAGATGCCCAGCCTTATCCAATTAAATTAGTCTGGCAGGGTGTAATGGAAGATGAGAGGTGAGTTTGAACTATCTTTTCTCTATTATTATTATTATTATTGTTAGTCACTCAAACAAAGAGATGTAATGTTTTTACAGGCTGGTTTGAATAATTTGAAAGATTTTTTTTTATAATTTTGAATATGGGTTTCTGGTCAAAAGGAACCTTGCAAAGTTTTATTCAGGGACTTCTTAAAGAATGTCAGACTGACTGAACTGATGCAAGCCTGACATTGGCACTGGAAACAGAGAGTCCTCAAAATTAAATTGCTTTATGACAGTTACATATTTGTTTGCAAGTATTCAGAAAAGTCCAGAAAAAATAGACCAGTCCTTGTTAAATGGATGTTGTAATGCTCATTTATTCCAGTGAGATCAATGAGATGGAAGTCTTTCCAATGTTTCATGCCATCCCCTTCACCAAAATGCTGACATTCTACAGACGAGATGCGTTCACACTAGAGGCTCAGTATGGGGCCAGCACCGCCCTGCCTTACCCCACAGATACCTTAGGTACGGGCTTGACTGCAGACTTTTTTTTTTAAATTTATTGTTTGATTATATAATTTATTGCACCATGTGAATTTAGCTAAGATCATATTTTGTGCAAAAAAGTAGTACACGCTGTGTAGGAATTGTCTTACTAATTGGAATAGTTTCTGTGGAAACCATATTTATAAGATAAGATATCCATACCTTTAGGGGTAAAATGGAATAGATACCACAGTTTTACCACTAGATGTGATCTTTTAAATTAAATGTAGGAGTAGTCTGTTGACTCGAATAATCTTCAAAGTCTATTTCACTTATAGGTAGTTTTACCATAAAAGACGTCAAAGCTCAGCCAAAGGGAGAAAGTGCCAAGGTCAAGGTGAAGGTCAGAGTGGATATTCATGGCATCTTCAAGATAACCAGTGCCACAACCACAGAGAAAATAGAAAATGCTTCACAGGTGAGGAATTGTCACGAGATGGCTTATTGTATATGGTATAATACAGTCCATTCTTTATGTTATTAATATAAAATGTGATGTGATTTATGAGAAATGAGCAGGTCTTTTCAGTTGTAGATATTTTTTTACGACATGTTCTTTATTGTATAGTAGGGTTTAGCATAGTGTAATAAATGTTTTCAACATGAAAGTCCCTTTTCTGTAAAATATCTCATGATCAAGTGTTGAATGTTTTAGCTGATTCCATCATTGAATAAATACTTCCAAAACAAAATGAACAAAACAATTGAACATTTTTGATAGACGTATGATTTTTGCCAAAAAATGTTTTATACTTTAATTTGTAATTCCTAGATAAACTGTAGATAACTAGGTATGTTTGTTGATATGATGTAGGAAGAGCCCATGGAGGTTGATGAAAAGGTAGAGACAGTGCAAAATGGCCCTAAAGAAGGAGAATCTAGTCCTGCAGGTGGAGAGGCAAAACCAACAGAAAATGCTGAAGAGGTAGGAATACTGGACACAGTAAATTTCAGCAAAGTGTACGTTAAGATATTTGAAAAGTACACTGGTTTCAAATGTAGTTCATGTTTGCTGTCATAATTGATATTCCGCACCCAGTGTAGCATAAAGCTAATTGTACATTTTTGTTTCAGACTCCAATGCAAACGGATCAACCTAGTGAAGGTCAAGTTAAAGAGGTAAAAAGTCTATTTTGTACATTCTGCAGGTATTGGTGATGATTGCCATATGACCTTTCAAATGTTTTTAAATTTATTTCAGTGGAATTACTTAGGCAAGAGCTTTGATGAAGTAATGCTTGCTGTTTAAAAATTATTATTATAGCTTTAAGAAAAAATGACAAATTTTATTAGGGTCTAATTGCATATTTGAATCTAGGTCATAATATAAAAGAAAGATGGAATAAACAGTAAATGATTCCTATTGCAGGACGAAGAGAAGAAAGAAGAGAAGGATGAGAAGAAAGATGATAAAAAAGAAGCAAAGAAGAACAAAGTGAAAGTGAAAACGATAGACCTGTCAGTTGACTCTAATGTGCCGGGATTGGATAAAAATACTCTGAATTTGATGATAGAAGAGGAGGTAGGGTGCATGGTGTCTTGTTACTGAATTGAAAACTGAAAACAAACATGGTTTGAAGTCATGTCATAAGAACCAGTGACGCAGTAGTAGTTTTATACTTTGAATAACCTTAAAATAGATTTCATTCAATACATGAGTGGAAGTCAAATTACATGCTGGGCACTCTCATACAGGTAGTATAAGCCTTGATGTTTTTCCCTATCTCATACACCCCATTTCCATAGATTAGATCGACCTACTTTAGATCGACCTAACTCCCTGGGGGTTCACGCTAAATAGCTGTCAGCCGGGTGGACACGAAAGTTAATTACCCCCTTCCAGCTTGTAGTAGGCGGGACGGACATTTAAGCTGGATTATCTGACAGTAATCTAGTGAGACTTCCCGCAGGGATAGATCGATCTAAAAGCTCTGGGAATACAGCCATAGTCTTCCTCAGGGAACTGAACTAATTGTCACTGTTCCTGTTTGTTCAGTCTCAGATCTAACTTCCATTCTTTAATTGAATGAAACTACAACAGGATGAATTGAAATCTATTAATTTGAAATTGGTTTTTATGTTTTAAATATGGTTTGTATGAAAATACAAGATTGAATTTTTTTAGTTACTATGAATTCATCTTGTCAATTTTAGTTATTATGAAGGAATGCTGATTTTTTTAATGAATCATAAACTGGTTAAGGACCATTTGCTTTGAATATTAGAAAAACAGAATATTAAAGCATGATACTAAACATTATTATTTTTCTAGGCTAAAATGATCATGAGTGACAAACTTGAGAAAGAACGTGCTGATGCCAAAAACTCTGTAGAGGAATATGTCTATGAAATGAGGGATAAGATTTCTGGCCCACTGGAAGAATTCCTCACGGAGAAGGTAATGCATTGTGGAATGTCTTGGTACTTTTGATAATATATTGTCTGTCGTGCATTACTGTATTTTTTGTTTTATACATAAAGTTTGAGGGTGTGATTGTGATTTTAGGTGCAACTCTATGGTACTGGTCTGATAAATTCATTTAGTGTATTTCATTTTCTGTTTTGTTCTGAATCTAATTTTTTGAAAGACTAATTTTGTTCCAGAAAGCGATATCTTTGTATAAAGGTTGACTACGCTTAAAAAAAGATGAACAATTACTATATCTTATGATCTTATGCAGTCGAAGTAATTCAATAATTTTGTATTGATGTATACTGTTGTGCATTTTAACTAGACAAATGAAATACATTTCAAAGACAAATTTTCAAAATAATTTAAAACATAAAGAAGTGTGAGCTAATATGCTAGAGAAAATTGTGGTTGGCAGTGCAGTTTTATCATGATATCTATCCATGTTTCAGGACCGTGAACAGTTCTCTAAGATTTTGACGGAGACAGAGGATTGGCTGTATGAAGATGGGGAAGACTGCAAGAAATCTGTGTACATAGATAAACTAGCTGAATTAAAGGTAAATGTCTTGGATTATTGGGTCACATAAGAAGGGAAAAAGAGATGTAGTTTGATTCTTTGAAGTTTCTGTGATCATTATCCTTGCAAGTACGAAGAATCAAATTTTTTATGAGAAACTCATTTCTTAAAAAATTGTATTACATGAAAATTGATTAGACTATACTTAACTGAGTACTGTAAGTGCTGAGTTTCAGCTGTTTCTTCCTTGATTAATTTGGTTGAGTAAATTGTTGTGTAACTGGGGATTATTTTCTGACATATCTGCAGAAACTTGGTGACCCTCCAGGGAAGAGATTCCGTGAGTTTAATGAAAGGCCTCAGGCATTTGAACAGCTTGGTGGAGCGCTGCAGTTAATCCGCAAGGCTTTGGATCAATACAATGCCAAGGTAATTACTCCTCACTTATATGTTCATCTCTCCTTATTGATTCAACAGCAATCATGTTATTGAAATAATAATTATTAAACAATGAACAAAAAGAAGAAAAAATATTTTGAGGCTAAATGTTAACAGTGTCTGGAATTGAAGATATATTTTGATTATTGTAGTGATGAATACCGAGATATTTGAAAGAGGAGTCCCCCAGTTTTTTTACCATTTTTTGACTGTTCATGAAAAATCCAGCAACTTCCTAAACTTGCTCATAATCAAGAGTTAAAGGAAATTAAAAGATCAAATGTTGACTGATTCTGTTTTAGGATGAGAAGTATGAGCACATTGAGGCCTCTGAGATGAAGAAAGTGGAGAAATGCCTCAAGGAAAAACAGGATTGGTTTGACAAACAGTTCAATCTCAGCTCACAACTACCTAAACACAAAGATCCAGCGGTATTAGCATCTCAGATAAACTCTGAAAAAGAGGTATGTAGCATCAGAATAAAATTTTTAGTATTATTACAACATAAATAGATTTTCTCTTTTTTATTTTTATTTTTTATTTTTTTCGTTATTAGTAATGATTGAAATTTTTAATCATCTCGGATTATACTTGATGTGCAGGATATGTTGGGAAGCTTCTTTGTTAAATTCAAATCCCCTCTCATCAAAGATTTGTCTGTTTGGTCAATTGCTGAATGCACATGTATTACAGAAAAGCATTTTCCTCTTTTCAGGCACTGCATAGACTGTGTTTCCCAATATTAAATAAACCCAAGCCAAAGCCTAAAGAAGAGCCCCCAAAAGATGACAAGAAAGATGAAAAGACAGCAGACGCTGCAGCTGGCGAGCAGACGGTTGCTGGGGAGGGAGATGGACAGAAAAGTGGAGAACAGAATGAGCAGCAGCCACCTTCAGAAGCTAGCACAGCAGAGATGGAACTAGATTGATACTAACTTCTCTTAGTAATTACATCACCTGAACTGGAATGTGGGTCATTTTTCTTTAAAGACAGACTGGAAAATGTAAACTTCAGAACATAAATATGGAAAATTGCTGTAAATTCATAAACGGTGAACCCAGTTGGCAGGGAATATTCCAATTGAAAGATCTTATGCATGATGACTGACATGATTATTGGTCAGTTGAATTCTTTTTTTCACTGATTTGCTGTCTTACAACAGTATTCTTTTCAGTGTTTTGTAGTTAGCTGCAACAGTTTCCTTGTAAATGGTCTTGAAATATAGTCAAGGGATGTGTATACTCTGGATGCTTCAATCTAGACCACTCAGTAAATAAAGCAATTTTATCACCAGTGATTGACTGGTAAATGAACAAAATAGGCCCATTCTCTGTTGATCTCTCCCCACGTGCAAACTTTTCAATAAATAATTTAATGTGCAGTACAAACATTCTATTTAATAACAAACCTGTCATACAACTGGGTATATTTCTCTCTAAATTACAGGTTGCAAATGCAATGTGAAAGCCGTCATAATAGTCTAAGCAGTGAAAATTGACTGCTTTTGGTGTAGAGATAATTCTTAAGCAGTGTAATTTATTAACTTTTATATGTCATCAAAAGCATCATAAAGTCTGTATATCAGAAAGTTTGTTTGTTTCTTCTTTTCCAACCATCATTATATGTAAAAATAAGTTGTATTTCCACAATCATTAAAACTGAAATAACTGTTAAAGATACCATGAAAACTTTGGCTGCGCTGAAATCTTAGTTCGAGTGAAACATTTGTGCTGTCAATGTTTCAAGTCATAATTGTACACAAACGTCAACTGTAATATTGCCATGTATATACTGTGACAGTCCTGTACATAACAAGGCCATACATTCTGATGGCCAGCTGGTCACAGGTGCTTACTCTGCTTCAGGGGAGTTTTGAAGTTATTTAAAAAAACTAAAAAGGCTGTTACAAAAACGAAAAATGGCTGTAAATTTCAACGTTGTAGTACTTTGTTATTGTTATTAGCCTCGACAGTGTTACAGTGCTGTGTTTCAGTTGTTAATAAAGAGAACGGTTGGTAATTACAAGTATGCATGTATTCTTACATTTTTTCATTCTTTTTTTTTCATCAAATTGGATATTAATTAACCGATTGCCAAATGTTAATTTTCGCTTGCAAACACAGAAATAGTACTTGCCATAATGTTTTAACTGAGACAAAAACACTTATAAAATTAAAATTCCATTAAGATGAAAAACCTGCATCTTAGCTCTGGCATAAAACAAGTGTACAAAAAATGTACTCAATATTTCTCGAGAGCTGCCTCTGAATTTTTGCACTCCACTGATGAAAAAAATCTAAGAACGCAGACAAGAGAACAATCAGGTGCATTATGCTTGGCACGCTGTTCAACCGAGCCCTGCTATGTGGAGTGTGGTCTTGTTTACTGCCTTAGACAGGGCAAAAACAGTAGACCTTCCTCTGCTTGCAGACATGCTGTGTTTGTGAGCATGTGATTTACTGGATAAATGGTGCACTGCGGTAACGCGATAGATGTAAGGTCTACTACCTCTCGCTCTGAGTTGGAATTGGTGGGAGAGGGCTTCCTTGTGATCCCAATCTTGATCCAGAGCGACTACTTGGTGACACTGGGTGAGCTAATGGTGACCTTGACCCAGATACTCCTGTTGATGACCTTGAGCCTGTGGATAGTGCACTTGGAATTCTGCTATCAGACATGTTAGATGCCCTTGAGCTAGCCAACTCTGGTATTGCAGACTGGCAGCGGATTGCTTCAAGTTCTACATTATGAAGTTTGTGTTCTTTAAGTGTATCTTCAAGACGCTGCTGTGATCTTAACAACATATCTGAGGTGAGTGTTTTGAAGACACCTGTAATAAGATGAAATGCCTATTTATATCAGCATAACATTTCTTTCTTAAGGCATATAAGCCTTTTAATTATCCCTTTGGCGTAATAACTTTATAAAAACAGTTTGACTTAGTAAACAGCCACATCAGAGATAAATCTTTTTTGCACTCAATAAATACCTACATACGGTATTTCAAGCCTTTAAGGGCAAAAAGTATAATTTTTTTCCCCACATTAAATCACAAACCAAACCTATCGGCAAAATAACTGAAGCAGCTTCTATATTTCATAAATGTTCACATAAAATAACCTTTGATTTGCTCTATGGTGTGTTCAACATCAGCAGCATCATCAACATTGTTTTCTTCTTCTTCTTCTTCTTCTTCTTCTTCCTCTTCCTCCTCATCACTGGATATAACATAACCCACAGCCCTCTTCTCAGATGTCCTGACTTCCACTCCATCCAGCTGGCGCAGTTTGGGCAGTTCTTTTATCAACCGAGGCCTGGTGTTGTAATACAGATGGGGCAGATATTATTAGGAGGCATGGTTTCAAAAGTCAGCATAACTTTTTATTATAATAGTAGTCTCACACTTGTAAAAAATATCTAAATCCTTCTAAAAAGGAAAGAAGCAAATAACTTATCAATAATAATAATAATATAATAATGTGATGTGGTTGTACTGACTTCCAGAAACAGTACTCTGTAATTTCTCAAGTTGTCTATTATTACCAGTGACAGCAGTACACATACCTGTAGCCATCTTCTGAGGTACATTGGTTCTCTTTTAGGGACAGGATTATCAAGGACTGCGGTAATTCCTCTAGAAGTGATAAAATAATTCCTTTGTCAAAGATTTTAAGCAAGTTATTCAAATGCATCATTAATGTTTTCCTTTGTACGTCATAACATTACCATAAATTCATAAATTATGCTCCCTGTCTTAAAACTAGGACCCATGAAATATTTCCGAGTTCCTAGCTTACAACTAAATTTCAAATGGACTGATCTGTTTTCACTTATATCTAGGTGCTAATATGGCATCTTTCTTAAGATATTTCTCTGTAACAAGTACATGCAATATGTACTCTGTTTACAGATAGACCCAGCCACAGCCAGACTGTGTTACAATAGTTAGGGGGTGACGTACCTACATCCAAGGTCTCTATCAAGTTTTCAGACAGATCAAGAAATGCCAGCTTTGGCAAACACATCAGGTTTTCTATTGTCCTGATCTTATTTCCAGCTAAAGTGAGGAAACGCAGAGAATGGAGACAATCAAGGTTCTCAATTCTCTTGATTTTGTTCTGAAAACAAAAATCATTATGAATCAAAATTATATTGAAAGAAAAACACAGCCCACCTTAAGAAAAGTCAGTGGCAACATGGTATGAATTAAAAAAGTCATTAGCTTCTCATAGTGAGCAGATTAAGGATGGAATGTAAATTATGGAAAAGTTTTCAGTTATTAACATAGCTCTACAAGTACAGAGTGAGTTCTTTGTGTTCCTTTTGCCAGAATGATCAATCGTTAGGCTACTTTCAACTACAATAGCAAATCTTTGCAAATGAAAAAAATTTTATCTAGAAATGATAAAGTGTATGTTTAACTATAGAAAATGTCACCCCATTCAAATAACTTGCTAGGAGCTACTGTTGTCTAAGTATTTTCTACTGCAAAATTAATTCAACAAAAAGGAGGGATTTTTTTCCTCAAAAAGCAAACATGAAAGAAATGGAATCCACTGTCTTTTCTACTTTCTTCCAAATAAAGTTTGCTTCATGTAAATATTGTTATAATCCTACCTGCTGCAGATAGACGTTGGTGACAGACTTCCCCAGAAGTTCTAGACCATCAATGTCTCCAATATTCTCTCTGTCTAACCTCAGATGGGTGATTTTGTTTAGTGACTCCACACTGAAAGGCAAAATGCATAATTTGTCTGAAGTCTCATTCTTATCAGTTCCATTCATCAAGTGCTTTTAATAATTTTTTTACTAGTACCCTAGTACATTACAATGTGCTGCTCTATTCATTAATATACCAGAAAGCTTCAGTGTTTTCAACAATGCACTCAGATGCTGACTATTTCCAAGTGCACTGTGTACCATTGGGCTTACATGAGGTCCTGTGGCCAGTCAGCAGCTTCAGGCGGCAGGTGTCTCCTGACAATCATGTGTAGTGACAGTCGCTGTGGTCGCACCTCAGGCTCAGGCTCTGTGGGAAGAGGAAACATTGAATTTCATTCCAATTATTCCATTAACTTCTTCAGAGACATCAAGTTAAACTGGGCACTGTGCAATTAGTGTGATCGCAGCAATCAAGTCATTTTCTTGTGTTGCATAATTATATCATTCATGTTTACTAGTACTATGGACATATCAAATACATTTTTATTGATAGACTAATCTTAAAAATAAAGAAATCAAACAAAAACGTCCAAGCTTCCTGTTTATTACTCCTTCATCAGGGGCAATCAATTTATAAATTGATCTTTACATGTACTGTACAGAGACAATTAAAAATCCATTTGTTAAACTATATTAAATACTATGGACATGTATAAACGGTATACTAGTATCCGAGTCAAATATTTTGAGGCCTAAAGACTGATCTTTCTCAGTTTTGTCTTTTCACATATCTTCGGTCATCTAATTATATGAGAGAGAGAGAGAGAGAGAGAGAGAGAGAGNTCAAAACGCAACTTGTCATCAAAACGCGATTTGACGCCAGATGGCGCCCATTGTACGAAAATCTAGGCCAAGTCACATGATCCACAGTGATCAAAATGGCGGACGTTATTGAAGCAGCATTATCATATTCCTCGCTCGAACTCGAGAATTATCTCTACGCGTACAATCTAATAATGATATTATATATATAATAATATCTGGAACTTGTGAAATGAGTACAACAATAAAGCAGTGCTTCACAAGTGTGTGTTTTTGTTTTTTTTTAATTTATAACATGTCCAAATTATTTAATAAATTATTTAATTATTTATTATTTCGAGAATTATCTCTACGCGTACAATCTAATAATGATATTATATATATAATAATATCTCGAACTCGAGATAATTCTCGAGTTCGAGCGAGGAATATGATAATGCTGTTTCAATAACGTCCGCCATTTTGATCACTGTGGATCATGTGACTTGGCCTAGATTTTCGTACAATGGGCGCCATCTGGCGTCAAATCGCGTTTTGATGACAAGTTGCGTTTTGATGATGACTAGTTGCGTTTTGATGATGACAAGTTGCGTTTTGATGATGACTAGTTGCGTTTTGATGACTAGTTGCGTTTTGATGATGACTAGTTGCGTTTTGATGACTAGTTGCGTTTTGATGACTAGTTGCGTTTTGACGACTACTAGTCGTATTTTGCCTTCTGATCTGATAACGATGACGACTAATCGTGTTTTGCATTTTTGTATAAACCGCCGCCCATACACAACCGAGTCGAGAAACTTCGGTGTCAATTTATATTTGAATCTTCTTGCGATTGGCAGTGGTCAAGGTCTTAAGTGTTGCTTTCAATGAAAATCACGCCTTTCCGATCCCTGTCTGGAAGCACGTTATTTGACCCTTATTGCTTGCTTTTAATAAATACTCCCCCTTGCCCTTTCCAGAAAATATAGGCCTTAACCATGTTAAGATATGGAAATATCTTAGCTTCGATGATTATTGTCACTTTTTTATGCCACAGACACTGTGAAGACCACGTACCCAAAGTAGATTTCCATTTACCTTGCTGTCGCCAGTGAAAGGACCTTTTAATCGAGGTTTGTGTCCATGAAGACCACGTCCCCAAAGTTTGCTAAAATATTCCATAAATTTTTAAGATACTGGAACTAGATCTCTCTGGAAAAAATATGATATGGCGATATGACAGCGAAACTCTTTTAAAGCCTAGATCACATTTGAAATGTGATGCTCGTACGGTGCACGCATACTGCCCGTAATACCCTTTTCGTACGGCGTCTGAGCGGAGGTAGACGGTGGCCGTGCGAAATCGCACGGACTCATACTGATTTAAGGCCATGTAATGTAGACATACTCGGCGTAGCTCGTAGCTCCTTACGATTTCAAAAAATCGTACGGACAATTTCATGGCACGGTGCCTGTGTAATTGAAATCCAGGCTTAAGGTAATTTTAAATACCCCGATTCGTTAAAATCCAATTGATCAGCCATTTATTATTATTTCATTTACCTTGCTTTCGCCAATAAAAGTATGTATACCTTTTAATCGAGGTTTGTGTCCATGAAGACCACGTCCACAAACTTTGCTTAAGCCTCGGTCACAACCGCACGCACGAATCTCAGGATCGTACGTCCGCTGCGATTTTTGGGTGTTGCGGAGGCCGTGGAGGTCGTAGAGGTAGAGGAAAGTACGTGCTTACGGGTGGTCTGCGAACTCGAAATTTCGTAAGAAGGACTTGCGTGGGAAGTGAGATTCTGCGCAAAATTTGACGCAAACAGCCAGTAAGAGCCCGTACGGCCGGTTGTGACCGAGGCTTTAAATATTTCATAAACTTTTTGATATTAGATCTAGATCTCTATGAACAAATATAGCATTCCGATATGACTGCGAAACTCTTTTAAGCCAATTTTAAATACCCTGATTCGCAAAAATCCAATTGGTCAGCCGATTTATTAATAAATGCATTTTGCAAGAAATTTCCTCTTTGCGGTTTCTGGGACTTGGCTAATAATCATGAAAATTAAAAAAATGTAACCAACGCCGTTACGGTTAAAATAATTATATATTGTCAGTTTGGCAAAGTTCCGATGTCTTCAATTAAGTTAGTCTTGAGTGGGATATCAAGCGTACAGCAGTTTTTGAAAAATAAAGGTTCAATTTTGAAGTACGCCTCTATTTTTGGCTCATGGTTTTTGTGGGCCCTGTAGAAGGGATTTATGCGCTAGATTTTTTTTGTTCTGTCTTTTTGTTCTTTTATACAAAAATGCAAAGCCAATAATTGTATGACCTTGCACGCATATGATATACTGGATCTAAAACGCATGATCTTCTGTGTTTAATCATATTGTTGTAACTTTCCATGAGGATGTGCTCTTTGAACAGGGTTTGAACATGATTGCAGAAAATTAGTCAGAAGCAAGGTAATTTATTGCAAAGATTAATTTCACAAAATTAAGAAAACACTGTTGATTGATTCAAAGTTTCATTAACATTTGACGTTTTACAGTTTAAAGAGAATTTATTTACGCAGCAGTTGGTCGTGGCCGTTTTGGTCTATCACCAGTTGGCTTTGGTCGCTTCATACCTTCTGGCTTGTCACCAGTTGGCCTTGGTCCTTTTGGTGCCTTGCGTTCTTCTGGTCTATCACCAGTTGGCTTTGGTCTCTTCATCCCTTCTGGCTTGTCACCAGTTGGCCTTGGTCCTTTTGGTGCCTTGCGCTCTTCTGGACCATCTCCAGTTGGCTTTGGTCGCTTCATACCTTCTGGCTTGTCACCAGTTGGCTTTGGTCCTTTTGGTGCCTTGCGCTCTTCTGGCTTGTCACCAGTTGGTTTTGGTCCTTTTGGTGCCTTGCGCTCTTCTGGACCATCACCAGTCGGCATTGGTCGCTCCATCCCTTCTGGCTTGTCGCCAGTTGGCTTTGGTCGCTTCATCCCTTCTGGCTTGTCGCCAGTTGGCTTTGGTCCTTTTCCCATTCCTTTCCATGTCCTAAAAAGCAATAGTAAAAATTTTATATAGTGAAGACATATTTCCTGTGACCAATTTGCAGCATCCATCACAGTTGATGGTTTTGTGGTTGTTTACAGTCTTTCTACTTCTTTTTGTTAACTTTCCTGTGTAAAAAGCGCCGTTGTATATTTTTGAGGTAATGAAATATATAAAGAACCCTGCTTAAAACGTTTTTATGAAAATGTACGAATTACATGCGGCAGCTTCCGTGGCTTGGCCAAATAAAAATTGTATATCTGTAGCATTGCCGAGTTTGGAACTAGATAAAGTGATGTCAGTTAACAGAAATAGAAAATGGTCAAGTATACCATATCTATGAAGTAAATCAGCAAATTTCTGCGCCAAAAAGTAGACTATAATACTTTAACTTTCTTCACATGACTGTGCATATCTTAGGACTGCTAATGGATTTAATTCCAAATGGTGAAAATTGCCGTAATCTAAATTATTGACAATGGAAAAGCATTTCAGGTAAAAAAAGGTAATGTTTCTAGTTGACGCGCGTGTCACATGAATGCTTGCGCACCACATTTTTACGTTTTTTGGCCGGAGATGGTGCGTGGTCTTCGGCACCAAGTCAGGGTCGGAGACTGGTAAAAAAAACCTTATGTCGTTCGGATGCTTATTTTGAATTCATATAATAAAGGTAACTTTAAAAATCGCTTTAATGGAATACCATTTACGGACAATTCGTCTACACGTTATCTAGGCTTGTCACTTCTTTTTCAAAATGTTAACGTTAACCACGCAAAAGAGCACTACATAAAATTGAAAACTTTGGGTATATTCTCAATAAGGTACGCATCTGAGATTCCTTATAAAGATTGCATTTTTCTCAAAACATGTTTCGAACATTTGTGATGTCGTTGTCATCCTTGATACTGTACTCTTTGTATGAAAGTCTTACTATCAGGGCTCTTATTAGACTTGAGTCATGAATCACGCTCACCCTTAGCCAACGATCAAGTTTTATATCAATGATATTTCAAAAATCTATTTCAGTAGGTCTTATACATAAACAAGGACAAAAAATAAAATAAAATAATAAATGCCTTCAATAGGATTTAAAGCTTATATATGATAATAATAAAATACAAGCTGAATTTTTTCATACATGTACCGTAACCATAATGTTTGTCTGTGAAGCATAGATTACATTTGCCACTCGCGCGTACGATTTTTTTTGACATCGTAAGTAGTTACGGACTACGGCGAGTATATACGTCTTCATTAATTACGTGCTGGTGCCATGTGATTTCTCCGACATGACCTCGATGTCACGTAAAGGAAAATAGGTTTTCGGTTAAAAAGTGGTCGAATGGAGCCTCTTCAGTCTCGGTACAGTTGCTGCAGGCCTTCCGCGCCGCTGCCTTTCAGATGCTTTCGTAGTACATTAGTTTTTTCACCCAAGTGATTACCGCAAGCCCAACAAAGAGTGCCCTTACGGGAAATGATTTTGGCCTACGGTCTTACGATTTAAAAATAAATTGTCAAAAGTGTTATCTTGACAAAATCGTATAGGCTACAGAAGCCGTGAATCCGTACGATTTTGCACGATTTCGCACGGCCACCGTCTGCCTCCGCACAAACGCCGCACAAAAAAGGAATTTACGGGCAGTATACGAGCACCGTACGCACATCGCATGGCAAATGTAATCTAGGCTTAAATGGTTGTCAGTAACAAAACTAACTTTTCCCAAACAAGGATATTTAAAAAGGCAATTTTCCTCGACGCAGTAACTTAAAAGTAACAAACAAGGTATTATTTTTTTCAAAATTAAAAGACAATTGTCATTAATAACGTAAACTATAAAATTATGAGAATATACCACAAAGAGAGCTTTTCGACTTAATTTGTTCAAATGAAGTCGAACGCGTTCCATCTACCATCGCAAAAATACTGCCATTTCGGTTAAAACACAACGTAACGCTAAATAATGGTAAGTGATTTACTTACTTCCCGCGTGGAAAAGCCAAAGCAGCGCAAACCAGCGCTGTCAACACGACGAGAGTTGCGAGCTTCATTTTCAGGTTTCGGAGACAATCTCTTCGAGTAAGTGATTTGTTCTGATTTTCCGAGAACTTTTATAGATAATAATTGATTGGCCAGCTGTAGGTCGTGGGATGGTCAGTTTTGAAAAGCATGCAAACAGGCATGCGTCTGAATCAACATTTTAAAGTAGAAACAATGGTCCTGTTTGACCTGCTGCGATTTGTTTGTGGAATTAAATTGAATGTTACCCTTTATGTAACCCACCACTTAGTGAGATCATAAATTTCATATTTTTCAAACCAAAGGAAAGACAGTTACTGTAGTTAAAACTCAACTCAAGTTTCTTTCTTTCCTTTTTAAAAATAATTTACAACAAAAGAATTCAACCCTGGATCTCTGACTTAAAGCTTTAGCAGTAATATTATCATAACATTTCACGACAGAATTTTCGTTATATGTAAAAATATTTCACGAGAAGGCGGACACCCTGGAGGGTTAATTTCTTAGTTAGCAGCCTAACGGATGTTGACAAAATTTTCGTTATAGGTAAAAAAAAGGCTAACTTAAAATACATTAAAATTTGGTGGAGATCCATCAATAAATAAATTAATTTATAATGAGAATTGAGCTGCGTTGGCGGAGATCTGTACTCTATTTAATTGTGCAGTACTCTCATGATGACATTAGTTGCCTATCTGGCATGATTCGCGGCGGTCCCTTTCAATTTCAATCACTGTTTGCAATCAAAAAGTTAACCAACTGGTTTCGTTTCATTTTGAATTTTGCACATATCCAAAAAGTAATCGGATAAAAGTGAGGCACACAAATTGCGGTGATAGTGCGACAAAACCATGTCACTGTGCCTATACTGAAGAATTGCTGTTGATGTGTCCTTGGGTCCGCTTTTTTTTTTTTTTTTTTTTTTTTTGGGGGGGGGTCGCCCTCGTTTAAGTTATCCATTAAAAATTAAAATCAATTATCCAATTATCCTACCAGTTACGTGAATAGCAGTAGTGAAGAAACAGACTGTATAGTGCAAATATCAACTTCACTTTAATATGCTTTGAATGCCGGCCTGCATGCGTGACTGGCGGTGAGATCAAGCTGGGCAACCATGGAAAGATTTACCGATTACTGAGAATCGTGTCTAGGGGGCGAGTTACGTGTTTGAGATTGAATACAATTTTCCTGCATAAATAAAAGGACATGCTTGAAAGTGTTTACATTATTTGTTCATATATGGAGTCTGTTCAAACAAATCTTAGTGAAACAAACAAGAACGGATTTGTGGTGTTGCGCAATAAGTGAAGCGGGGAAGTTCGTTTTTCGTAACACGCCCGACTTCGTTAAGTTCAAAAGAACAACTTCAGTTTTGCTTCATATTCATGTACCATAAAACCACTAAAAACACGTTGAAGAAACGTTTTTTTTTTAATTTTTATTTTTGCATGTGTTATATAAGGTAATATAAATAGTGCATGTCTCATCAACTGCTAAGAAAACAGACTATCCACTGTAGTACGAGACAAGGTCAATGCAAAACGATGTATATGTAAGTAAATAGCAATAATCATTTGTTATAAATATCATTATATATAATATCAGTATAAATAGTACAAACATTGCTCATTATACATGGTGACATTTTCAAAATATTCTTTTTTAAGTCACAAAATTGAAATAAAGTGCGTCTGTGAGAGTTCTCGTTGAAAAAGCATTGCAAATATCGAAGTTATTGCGAGTGTATGATTTTAACATTGGTTCTGCATCTCCGGAGTCTAAATATCACATCCGGAGTAATGTTCAGCTGATCCTGCAAACTCAGGAAGCGGAGTTTTGGGAGAAGTTTTTTGTTAAACAGCTGTTTTACCAACTTTTCTGTCAGTCTCCCACATACTTTGTCGTTGCCGCTTATCTAAAAATAAATCGATACAAATTGCAATAAGATTAATTTTTCCTTGAAGAATTTCATCTTATAAAATCAGTCTTAAATTTGTCATCTTTAAAACTAATTTAAAATACAATTCTCTATTAGCAGCAAAATTAATAGAGCCTGACTCCTTAAACTGATCCATTGCTTTCAGAAAAAAGTGAGTTACTATGAAATACCAACTTTGAAGGTTATATTCCTGATCTAATTTCTCGTAAATTTTTAAAACAGATATCACCTCAAAGCACTCCAAATTTGAGCACATTTTGAACAGCCTCTGAAGGGGTTCATCACTGATGCTGGTGAACGATTCCAATTTTAGCTTCCTCAGTTTAGGACACCGGTCAGTTAGGCATTTTATTGCCCGGTCACTTACTCTGGCCCCTGACCCTTAAATGAAGATAGCAAGTAAATATAAAATAAAGTTCAGCATTTTTACTTGTCTTTGATAAATGAAATCAAAATTACTTGTTCAGAGTTACCATTTCCTCAGTGTCATCTACAAAATACTAGCCTTTTCCGGTATCAGGACAATTTCCCCCCGGACAATTCCCCCCAGACGATCCCCCCCCCCCCAAAGAATATATATTTATATACAAAATATAAAGTAAAGAGTACAAAGTTCAAATCTTTTCATCCATTTTATGAATATTTCTCAGTTTGATGATGCAACTCGAGGATAGATAATATTCATTAAATTATTTTCATATAGTACAAGTACAGAAAATTTTAGTGATATAAGTACACAACATTTTGTTTAAAATCTGATCAAAGTACATCTCTAGTTAAGGTGGGATAAACAGATGATCTCACTCATCCAGGTGACCCTTTGATAAATTATCTGTTACTTTCTTAAAAGTTAAATTAAAATTGCTTAATTACTGTTCCCCCCCCCTTGATTAAGTCTTGAATCAAGGTTCATCTCTAGGGAGAGGTGGGGTAAACAGATTTTCTCGCTTATCCAGGTATCCCTTTGATTATATATATGTCACTTTTAATTGCTTGACCACTACCCACCTACTCACTACCCACCAGAATGAAATATTCATAAAATATCTGTTTATCTGTTTACCCAACCTTTACCTGAAGGATAGGTGGTTATACTTTGATTAAATGTTCAATAAAACTTTCTGTACTAGTACTAAATGAAAAAGGACTTTGTTATAAGATAATTTGTTTCATGATGAAGTTGCATTATCACACTAAAATATTAATAAAATGGATGAAATGTTTTAAACTTTACACTTTTTACATTATATTTGTGTATAATTAGATATTTCTTGGGGGGGGGGGAGGGAATCGTCCGTGGGGAATTGTCCTGGGGGTAATTGGCCGGGGGGAATAGCCCGGGGGGGAATTGTCCGGGGGGGGGGGGGAATTGTCCTAGAATCGCCTTTACCATACAGCCTGAATTAAGACTGTCATTGAAAGTCCAATGTATACAAATATTGTTAAATATTACAGTGCTATTTATTAGAAGTCAAATTCTGAAAATTAATGAACAATCTCTAATCCCATCTGAGTATCATTCAACAAGTGTAACTTCTTCTCATCCACAACCAATATTGTCAGTGGTTTAACTTATTTTAAATTTGCCCAGCTTTCAAGGCATGGGCTGTTGCTTTTACCTCAAGAATGTTGCTCACATTTGGAGTTCATCCAGTTAAAAAAAATGCCCAGTAACAATTGTCTGAATTCTCCATTATACATAAAATGGATATATTCCAATCCTTGGCACAAGGACTACATGTGGGCATAAAACAACTCTTCCTTCAAAATCTCACCTGTGTCAGAGGAGCCCATCTCCAGTACTTCCAACTTGGGACACTTGGAAGCCAAAAGCTCAATATGGTGGTCCTTCAGATCCACATCTGGCCCAAACTTTATATTTCTGTAGCCCTGTTCGCCTTTCTTCTGCAGGGCCTCCCCCCAATCCGCATTAGACAAGATGTGGAGAAAAGGTTTCACGGACACGTAGCGGTGGTGGTTGGGGATGTCACTATGGCCAACTCCATCCTCAAAGCCCAAATTGTGGCCATGAATTTCACACATGCGTTTGGAATGTCTGCAGCACCTAAAAGAGAGGAAAACAAAGACATTCACATTTATTTTAATATATGCTACCTCTTTCCACTTTCAACTCTTCCAACACAACAGGACTATTTTCCTTGATAAATTCATTCATTTACTACAAGGTAATATGGATATGTGATATACTTTTAAGAATCTTAGAAGAAAACGTCACAGTTTTTGTATATTAAATGAACAGCTTTAGTATCACACATGACATGATACCTTCACCTGTTATAAAAAAGCTCTTACTAAACACTGCCCAATTATCTTTTGCTTTTATTTTTCACCTGTCAGAGTTTACTTACTTACTACACATCCCATTTTCACACATCTTCTTGGCCGAGTTCTTACAGTTACCTGACCTGCCTGCACAGTGGGAGCCAGTGTTCTCAGAGGACTGCTAATATAATATAATATAATATAATATAATATAATATAATATAATAAGTCAAACTGATGTATCAATTCATAATTGATTTATCTGTGCAGCCTAGTAAGCTTCATTTTGTACCATAACTGAGACCCCATTCCCACAGAATTTAGATTGATCTATCCCTGTGGGGAGTCTCACTAGTTTACTGTCAGCTTAGCCGGTTTAAGTGTCTGTCCCGCCTACTAAAAGCTGTAAGGAGGTAATTAACTATAGTGTGCGCTCGGCTGACAGCTATTTAGCGTGAACCCCCATGAAGTTGGGTCAATCTAGTTGGATCGATCTAAATCTCTGGGAATGTGTGCCCTTATATTGACAAAAATTGAACAACAACAATTACCTAAACTGGCAAAGCAAATTTCCTTCTCACCTATTAACAAGTTGTATTTGTTCAAGTAGATATTTGGGTTTAAAAAGCAGTTGGTTGATGAAACTCCACTCATTCAAAACTTACATAAAACGTATTGTAGGGGAGAGAAAATAAACAAAACAAAGCAAAACAAAATCCAAGATAAATCCATACAAAAGAAAATTTAGTACCTACCTTAGGCTTGGCCTCAGACTCTGGAATATGTTTCATCAGTTCCTGTACCAGTCCAGGCTCGTCTCCATAGTACTTGAGGATGTACTCCACTGTATACGGCAGAGGAGTGCAACCTTTAAGTATAGCCCTGACTGCCTCCTCGTCCATATCACCCCTGGACCTGTCCAGTAGGCCGTACTTCTCCAGGGCACTACTCAGGCAGTCTGTATGCCAGAGCTGGTACGAGGCTTTCTGCAAGGTTGCCAGTCAAGACATTTATATTTAACTTGATGGTGAATATCTTAAAACTGATAGATACTTATCACTGATGATCAGTTATATTTAAATCAAAACTTCCTGCAATATATATATATATATTTTTTGTTATAACATTTGCACAACAAAACTTGTTGGATTGTGTTGGCTGTGATGCAATTCTGTTGGATATGTGCAGAACCTAAACCTTTTGAATGTTTTATTTGTTCTTTCCAAAAATGTAGTTTGATAATGCTTCAGCCAATTTAAAAAGAATTCAATATTTTGGCTAAAACAATCACAAAATGACTTGAAAGATGTTAAAACTTCTCAGTCAAAACATTTCCAATCACTTATATGACACTGCACCTGTTCTTCCTAAAGTTACCTGGAAAAAGAGTATCTTGTTTTCTCTGTCCCACCCTGCCAGATCTGCCAACTCCTTGAAAACATCAGTGGAATATTCCCAGTCCACCTCCATCTCACACGTACACTCTGGCGTCTTACAGCGGCACTCATAGGGGTCCCGGATCCCATAGGTTAACTTTACATATTCATTCACAAACTGAAATAAATTAGTCAATTTTAATAATCCTTTAAGTAATCCGTCAATTATTGTAAAGATAAAAAAAAAAGCAGCTTATCATTAGAGTCCACTCTTAATAATCTCTTACGTAAGAATAATTAAGATAAAAAACTAGAGACTAACTTTAAATTTTGGTATGGATTCATTAACCACTAGTAAGTATGGAAAAAGGTTACCCAAAGAAAATCCATTTTTGGTCAAAATGAACAGATGTGCTTCCTTTAAGGATATACCAAAGGATATTGTCTAATATACTTCCCAAAACGCATTATTTGAAAGGATATTTTTTGCTTCGAAATTCTTCATGTGCCATGTATAACCTTTAGTATTTTCTGCCTGTGCTCATTTGAAAATTTATGCTACTGAATTCATGTGCACAGCATGTCGAAGACATCAAATAATTCACAGGCAATTTCGGTGACTTGACGTAATAACTTTTTGCTGTATTCTGTAACTCCTCATAATAAGTTATGTAAAGTCTAAAGAGGCAGAGTAGGCTTGTTGACTATTCTGATTAAGAAGCCATTGATTAGGAAGTTCATGAAGCCATTGTCTTGGTTAGATACTAAAGGGTGTAATATTCAACATATCGTCAGAATGTACCTGAGCAAGCAACGAGTGAACATTAAATGATTGAAACTGGTTATTGTTGTCAGTGTTAGGTTGCCTCACAGCAATTTACACGTAACTATTTTGACCACGAACTTGGAAGATAATATTAACGCATTATCCGAAATAAAAGTATGCAATGGTGTCCGTATTTCGAGCCCATTTCTACATTTGATTCATAGCTAAATTTTGCGCGGTTCCGGAGAAGCAGTTATAATGCGTCATGCATTAATTACTACCAGTATATGCATTTGGCAGACTTAATAGAACTGAAAGGACAGATAAGTACCGTAAGTCAAGTTTTAAAGCTTTATTTTGGCTGTGCCATTTATATGCATTCAAAGGCATCTAGGCTTGCTTCATATATATGTATCTGTGTGGTGCAATTGTATGAAGCGTCTGAATAAAGTCAGGGTAATTAAGTGACTCGATCTTCTCTGGCTGAGGGCAATATACTAATAATCCCTCTTCCCCTTCCAAAGACCATGTCCATCGTTGTGCACTAGCTGGCATTGCACTTGCTGACAATCCACAAAGAGGATACTTACTAAAAAGGCCTGCCCTTTCTTCATTGTAAAAATGCTAGTGAGTTTATTTCAGAAATGAACATACCAACTGTCACATACCTGAGCCATTTCATCCACAGACAAGTACATGGACATCCCCAGCAAAGCCCGAGCCCTGTCTATGCAATTGTATCCTCCCTCCTCCAACTTCTGAAACAGATGAGCCACTTCCTTAATCCCCCAGTCTGGGTGGTTCAGTTGTAACAGGCCAGCCAGGAGACCCCCTATGAATACCTCAGCATCTGTGTCTGAAAAGTATAGCGGTAGTATTGGTGGGATGAAAGGCATTAATTTACAGTTTTAATTCAGATTTTGCTTGCTGTTGGGTTATTAGCCATTTTTCTATCAGAAGAGATGCAAGACAAGTTTTATTGAGAGGATATATGCCATGACTAACTGTATGTAATGGTGGTACAATAAAAACTAATTTAGATCTTTCAATTTAAAATCATGTAGCTTACATTTTTTGGCCATCAACATTGCAAGTAATGGCGCAGATTTCCTTCGAGGTTCAGGAACATCAAGACTGACTTCCAACTTTGATTGTTCGGCTTCATTCTGAAAACATCACTGAGGTCAATACTGTGAATGCACATGAACTCCCAAGGGGAAGACTTAAAGCCCAAGGGCAGTGGGGGAGGGGGAGCAGTGACATATTGCAATGGACTTTTAGCTGGACTTATAGCTCACAACTGATTTTGTTACCAATTCTGGTACCTGCAAATTTTGGAAAAGTATCACAATAGTTGGTTTTCATTATAGTTTCCATGAAGTGTAAACATCTTTTAAGAAAATTCCTTTTCAAATAAAATATTTAAATTCTAGAGATAAACCTCTGAACCAGGCTTTTCTGGCTCTGTTTCCTCAGTCTCATTATCAGGAATAGTTTGCTCATGTTTATCGTCTTCAAAAATCTTCTCTTCGTCTTTATCAGTGTCATTATCAGGAATAGTTTGCTCATGTTTATTGTCTTCAAAAATCTTCTCTTCGTCTTTCTTCTCAGAATTTTGAGCATCATCTTCCTGGGTCTCTTCAGCTTCTGCAAATAAACATGGAATTGATTAATTGTTGAAGGTAATATCTCCTATGATGATAGTTGAAATATTTCTAAAAATAAGTAGGAATAATGCCATCCTGGCACATAGTGTAATTCAGTTTTGGTTTCATTTACTGTTATTTTAATAAATATACATTAAAAAAATATAACTAATTGACAAATTCTCACTTTGGCAAATGGTTTTTACCTTTTTTGATGCCTTCATCATTATTATTGGTATCTGTGTCTGGACTACTGCTGGCAGGTATTGGGATATCCTCCATTTCTATCCCATAATTTCTGAGGATTTCTGGTGGCAGTGATGAGACAAATTCCTCAAATGGTATTTCTGCCATTTCTTCCAATTCTTTCAGTTCTCTTCTAAGGGATTCCTTGCAGTATTAAAAAAAGTCTGTTAAGAAAATATCAGAGACTGTAAAACATTTAAAAAAGGCAATGTTCCTTGGGTGAAAGTTGTAAAAAATGAAAATCCTGATAACAATTTCTCCTGGCATTTAGACCATATGAAAAAATGCATATTCCTGAAAACTCACCCATGATCTTTTCATACCCAAAATGTTGAAACATAATGAAGAGTAAAGCATCACCTATACCTGAATTAATTGATTAAATCACAGCACACATTGATGATACATTTAAAAAAAACACAGTAAACTATTCTTAAAATTTTCAATAAGTTTGCTTAATTATTTATCAATTGTTTATTCAATTGGCAATTAAAGATAAATTAAGATAAATATTCTTAAAAACAATCCACTTCCTATATAACAGAGAAACATGTGACAGTAAACCTCATCTGTTTCTGCAGATGTGCTATCTTCATCTGTGGTACCTTCCTCCTCTGCTGGCTCATAGTCTTTATCTAAAATTAGAGCATGTTGTCAAGTATTGATATGTATGCTCATGCCTTGGCCCAGGCACCCAAATGTGTTATTACAGTCACTGACAGTGAAAATAATTGAGAATCTACACTCTACACTCACAGTGGAGTCCTGGAAAATTATTTTTTTCTCCAAAGTACAGCAGACAGCCAAATTGTGACTGCATGCTTTGATTAATTCTTAAACTTTTTGATGCTGCATATTATACTACTTCTTTCACAAAGAAATGTATTAGAATTACTTATCTCTGAGTAAAAATGTTTTTTACCTTCCAAATCATCTTCATCATACAGTTCCCTGTCAGTGGCCAGTGCAACTGCCCAGTATTCCTCCTCCTCTTCCTCACCTATCCCATCATCTACTTCCTCCTCCTCCTCCTGATCCTCATCCTCAGCCATATCCCCTGCCACTCCTTCGTCCTCATCTTCTTCCTCCTCCTCCTCTTCATCGTCTTCTGATTCAGCATCAGGAGGCTGGAGAACTTCTGGTGGCAGACTACTCAGTAGCTCTTCTTTGGACATCTGGGCCATGGCCTCCAGGTCTTGGAGCTCCTCCTTGACAGCAGCCTGCAGAGAGAGGAACAGAGAAGAACTTGAGGACAGTGGTAGTTGTGTCAGTTGAGGGCGTTTTTTGTACAATTTGAGAAAGCGCAATATTTGTAGAGATACACAGGCCACTTATGCAGATATATTTACATAATTTTTGCTGAACTGTGTGACCAGGTTTGCTGATCTTTTTAACCATTTTATTTATATAAATGTAACAAATTATGCCAAAAAATACCTCATCAGCTTCAGCTTCCTCTTGAGCAATGGTTTCTTCATCATCACCCTCGCTCTCCTCTGGCTCATAATCTAAATCTGTTTTGTATAATTAATATAAAACAAACTGCAGATTTGGTAGAGATTTCTGATTGCTTAACACTAATTCAAACAAACTGTCATTAAATATGACTGACAATCTTAAGGAATTGAACAAGATTCAGTAACAGCAATATAGAAGCTCAACTTGATTTTCTTTTTCTATTTGTCACTTAGGGTTCATTCCCAATGAAAATATTGGTCTAGGTGCATCAAATGAACTCTTGCTGAATGCAATCAGATAAACATACCTACTATTGTTTCCAACATACTCATAATCACCAGTTTTTCTTTATTCTATTCAACACCAGGAGGAGGCATGTTAATCTCTTAATCTCATTGCAGTCAGCGAGAGCCCCCTGACAGAGGTGGATCAATCTACATAGATTGATTGTTTCATTGGGTTTGGGCCTCTAGTTTACCTCCAGTGCTGTACGTAGAGTAAGCAAACTTGTTGTGAATAAAGTGTCCGAAAAAGTGCCCTGGTGTGTGTGTGTGTGTGTGTGTGTATGTTTGTTTGCATGCATTCTACTCACCCTCAGAGTCGTTCTCCTTGTATTCTACCTCAGTTAGAGCTGTGAACCAACTGTCTTCATCTTCCTGATCTGGGTCCATGATGTGTGGCTCTACTATGTCATGAGGCAGGCTCTGGATAACCTCTTCCAAGGTCAGATTGGCTGCTGCTGACAGGTCCTCTATTTCTAGTTTCACCATCTCCTGCAAATAGACACACAGATCACCAATCTCTTCAATCACCACGTGCTGCAAATAAATAAATAAATAAATAAATAAATAAATAAATAAATAAATAAATAAATAAATAAATAAATACTACTGACTATATATATTTTAATAATGATATATATTTTTTAAATATTTTAATATCTTAAAATGACTATATATATATTTTAATATTCATATTTTAATATTTTAATAATTAAAATGGTTTAGAAAATTTTAGAAAATGTACGTTTTTCAGAAATATCTAAAAAAACAAGACCTCTACTGGCAAATTCAGTTTGTTATCATGATTTTTTAAAAAAAGTGCCAAAGCATCTTCTCCAAAGATATCACTGATGTATAGTTAATATAATGAAGATGCCTAATTAAGAAATAGAACTTATTAGGCAAAGGTACCTCGTTTTCTTCATCTTCTGTGAAATCTTCATCACTTTCACTCTCCTCAGAATCTGGCTCATAATTTTCATCTAAAAATACAATTATCATTATCAATCTAAGTTCAAGGGGCCAAATTCATTAAATAAAAAAAAAAAACTGAAATCCCCAAAGTTACACAATTATTGATGTTTGTAGTACAAACATATAAAATAATAATACTATTAAAATGTACTTATAAGGACAATTGCAAAAATCTTTTATTTTAATATTATTATTATTTATTAGTATATTACTTATATTCATTATATATTTTCATGTCACAAACTTTATTATTACATCTTATGCACCTTTTTATACATCGCACTTTTAAAGTTTACCTTCAATCTCACAGTCATCCAGAGCAGCATTCCAGGCCTGAATCACCTCCTCCATGTCAACCCACTCCTTCAGTAAGTCAACTATGGCCAGGCATAGCCTGGCCCAGGCCTGTGGGGAGGGCCGCCACAGCCGGAATAGAGGGCCCATCACAAAGGTGAGAGGATGGTAGTACTCCTGGCATTCTGTCTGGTCACTTATGTTGAATGCTGAGATCAACTTGATGTGGTCATCCACTGACCAGTCCGTGAGGTCATACTGGTTGACAAACTTGCGGAAATTGTGGCAGATTTCATCAAATTCTGGAGAATGCAAAAAATTGTGTATTTATACTGTGCATTATCTGCTGATGAAAGGTTCCTGGTAATATCAAATGATATAGTTACCAACAACTATCTTTTTCTTGTGAAAGGTATTTTATTCTGCTCACACAGACTACACCGAGTTGAAGATGTGACCATGATGTCCCCTGCCCCGTCTACCATCAGTTGCTCCTTTCTATGGCTCTGTTACACGTCTATTTTACTTGCAATTAAAGCGAAACCTTTGCTTACCACTACCAGGTTTTTTAATTAAACATGCCTCAGCTACTTTTTAATTGAGATTGGAAGGTTATTATGTTTGGTCAATGCTTGCACATGCTTGACAAGATAAGACTTAAATCCAAAATGCTATTATAATTACTTATCGAGTAATTGCAAAAATGCATTATTTACTTTTTTATGTTTACACCTTTAACACTACCATGTTAAATAACCTTCAGTCTTCGAATAATTTGGCTGGCCAAATTAATCATTAAAAAAGAAAAAGAAATATTAAACTAAGTAAAAGGTTTTATTTCCCTCAAAAAGCTAGGCTTGTGATGCAGTGGGGAGGGGAAATAAAAATAATAATATTCAGAATTACTTGAATTTGACTCATACATGTATTAAATTCAAATTGTCCATTCTGGAGATTTTTAACTGAGGTCTGGAAGCTCATCCTCCACACTGGCAGGAAAGATGTTGGTCGTTGGAGATATTGATTTGTGTTTATAGGGCTCTTGGAATTCGTCATCAGACTCTGGATCCTCACTGGCTCCGACTGGATGTTTATAGGGGACTCTAGGTGGGTTGTCCTCTGCATCCCAGTCAGAGTCCGATGAGTACACCAGTCTTCTGGCACTTCTTCTGGGTGCTGGGCTTGGGGTGTCCTCTCTCCTAAGGGATATAGTAGGGTTCCAGTCATGGCATTGTGGATGATCATGGCCAAGTGGGTTCGGCCTTGTGAGACATGGGTGTCCGTTCTGTAAATTTGGATGGCCAAGCCCTGCAGGAGATCTGCTGCTCTGGCCAGCCGAGTTTGAATATCCAGGTCGGTGGTGGAGCAGCTAGCACACATGAACCATGGTCCTCTGGCCTGGCAATTGTCTGCTCACATATGACCCCGGTAGGCAAACCAAAGATTTCTCCCACAGCCACATCTGGCTAGAGTGGGCTGTCCCTGCCAAGGACTGGGTAGTTTTAAGTGATCTCCAATCATCAATGATTATCATATGAGTTTGACGCTGACTCACTATTGGCACCATATCGCCCAATGTCTCGTTATTCACTATGGCTAAGTTGCGATAGCAGATTAAGTCCATGCTGTCAAAGTCTTTTCAGTGTTTGTCTGCCATCCATATGATGTAGCATGTGTTTCAGCATGGCTGCAGCAATGATGAGAATTTCCAAGTTGGTGGTGTGGCGTATTCTTTCTGCTGTAGATGAATGCTTGGTGTTGAGAAAATCTGGGGTTTTATGCCGGAAAAATTTGAAGCCAGTACAAAGGCACTTCAGAAAATAATTTGTTGTATAGCTTCTTTCAGAAGATAATACATAAAAAAAACTTTGCAAAGATGTGTTAAGGGAAGCCTAATATATGAACAAAAAAATGAAAGGACATAAAGAGCAGAGCATTAAGATACCTTATTTACAAAATTAAATGCTATACTTAAAAAAAAACAGTAAATAATACGACTGAGGGCAACTGACCACAAAAATCTTTCCATTCCACATCCTCTATGTTTTCTTCAAGTTCTCCTCTCTCTTTCTTCCTCTTCCGTTCTTCTTTTTCCCGTTCTTCCTCCTTAAGTTGATCAGCTACCTGAGACAGAAATGTAGTAAAATGGTAACTTTGTTGTAAGCCTGAAGCGACACGTGCTCTTGATGTTAAACTTACATGTGAAAGGAGCGTGGATTGCTAAAAAATCTTTTTTCAAATGCTAAAATAAGTTTCATGAATAAATAAGAGAAAAATGTTCTTTGTTTACTGGATTATATGTTTGATTTAATAATTCTCAGAGCATTTTGCTTATCACAGAATTCATGCCAATACATACTTTACCTGTCTTTTATCTGTGCCTCACCTCATTTTTGATGACCTCCAGTTTTGATAAAGCTTCTTCTAAGGTCAACTTTGACTTTGGTTTTGGCTCTCTGAATTCAAATGGTTGGATAGAACGTAATCTCTCTCTCTCAGCTATTTGTTCCTGTTATAAATATATGTACTAGTATAGTATATGTGGTGACATACAACAAACTGAATATAGATATAAAAGCAGTGATTCTCTTCTAAAAAGCTCATTACAATTAAAATACACAAGATAAAGAATTAAAAACAATAGTGAAACATTCCAACATAAATTCACCCATATGCTATGTTCAATATTAAAGATGTACGTAATTTTTATAAATCAAAGCAAGGTGAACTTAATGAAACAAAACAGTGTTTTCAAACTCAGACTTACTTTTAGTAGCCTAGCATTATGTTCCTTCATCTCTTCTAGTTCCCTTTTTCGCTTTTCTTCCTTTTCTTCTTTCTCCTTGCTGACCTGCTCTGCCCTAGAAAAACCATCCAAACACAATGTAATTCAAATTCAAAGTTTAAATTTTCTTCATTATATTTCAGGGGCAGGTCCAGAGATATTTTCTGACAGTCTTACAAATTATTTTTGTTGGCTCATCCCCTACTGCCCCATGCCATTCCCTGCATGAGCTCCCAAACATACACACACACACACACAAATTTTTTTATTTTCAAACGTGTTTCGACTCGCTGCAGATTTATGAAAAAAAGTAATCCTTGTAGTCAAATGTCAAATGTATCCAAGATGCCCCAAGAGACATTGCTCATATGTTATTTTGGAGTCATCGTTTCTTATTCTATTTTAATTATTGAAACCACAGCCGACTTTCCTTACGCTACCTCTTTGGTGAAACAAGACTTTGAAGGAAAAACCAACTGTTCATTTTGGCCAAAATGGATTTACCTGGGGATAACACCATTTCCCCATACAAACCAATGGTTAATGAATCCATTCGGCCATTCACAGTTAGTCCTGTTTTTTTTTTTTTTTTTTTTTTAATAAAAATTTGGTTACATCTTATAATCTCTTAAGAGATGATTACAGATTATAGTCATCTATGAAGGTGATGTGGTCCGATGGAAAGCAAAGATTCCAGAATAATTGTGATATCAGCCGTTGGGTAGTTAAAAAGAATGTAAGTTGTTAACATTGTTTTAATTGTGAAATATGAATCTCACATGAAGAGTTGTTATCCTTAAAAGAAAGACAGGAGGTATTAAATAATAGTTAATTTTTAAATCTGTGTTTATCAAAGGTGACCTTTATGCATCAATGCATGACCTGTCCCAATATAAGTATTCGTTATTTTATCCAATCTTGATTTCATAATTTTCTTCTAAATTCTTAGTATATAAATAGCACAAAAAGAATATATTCAAGGGAACACTCAATCAAATACATTTTCTCGTGGTGGGTTTAAAATCATTTCAACTGTTCAAATATTAAATTTTATGACCAATTCCCATACTCGTTACCTATACATTTATGCGGTATAAAATTGGGCGCCCCTTTTTACATGTAAAAATTGATGATTTATTCCACATATATATATTCAGCCATTACAAATGGACATCTCGACGCCTTGTTACTTTCAGCTCTAAAGACTGAAGTGGCTGGAAAAAGTTACGTGAGTAAGCTCCCCCCCCCCCCCTACATCCAACCCGCCCTGCCCCTAGCTCCTTCAACACTATCGTTTGCTGAATCATATTCCGCGTTTCTCGACAGCTAAACAGTTTACGCGGTCTACAACATTTTAGGGAGGTACAGATGAAATAAAATCTCTGTCAGAATGTCGGCAAAGTTTTAAGTTTTAAGTTTTTAAGTTGCAAGACTGAAGTTTTTAGCCCTTTAAAAATTTACAACGTGCTGCGCTTTTAAGTGGTTCCACGAGTCCCAAATAAATTGTTATATAAATAAATTGTTGGCATCTTGATAATTCTCTCCCCAAAAACCGCCCTTACCCCAAAAATCGATAATCGCATGGGATTTTCATACAGGCAATTGACCTACTTTTGGCAAGTGCAGTTATCCGGCGCTTTTTTAACAATTTTATGACTTGGGCGTGGAGACGGGATTCACGCTTGTAATATGAAAGTTTATTTTAATGATGTGATTAATAAACAGCGCGTTTCACATCTTTCATAGTTTGTAAGGGTAAGGGGACAGTTCTTCTGAGGACAATGGAAAATGTGTACACAACTCAAAACCAAGAGAAAAGGTGTATTTTTCTCTTATATGCAAATTAGATTGCTTCGAGTTATAAACTGGTCGGAAGTGATGCTCATCTCTGTACCGAGGCCGTGCAACACATTCTAAAAGACTAAAAGACGCTGCAAACAAATTTGTCAGACATAAGTATTTTGGAAAATTTCAAAGAAATACAAAAATGTTCCAAATTTGATGGAAATGTGAAAAAAGTTATCATAACTGGCATATAAACATTTTCTCTTTTAGATTTAAGAGCACAAAACTGAAGATGCTTTTATGCTATCAAAATATATTGAATAAAATGCTAAGTGAATAAAAGAAAGTGTTTGATTAAAGTTATTTTCATATAATTACTTGTACATTCACAAATTTAGAAAAATGAAATCCGGTGAAATATGCATGTGTTTGCAACTGATGTCTAATTTCAAATACCTTATTTTGGCATAATTTCCCCTCAAAACAAACTCTCCCAAGTCGGGAATATTATTTCAAATAGAAGACTTATTGTGTGAAATATATAGACTTCATTATATTTGAGAAATACTGCTTATGAACTCAGAAATTGTGCATTGGTATATCGAAAAATACCGAGGCTTGTTCTTTGAAATTCTACCCCCTCCCCTTTCTACAGCTACCGTTCAAATAAACCGCTTTCAACCGCGTGCTGAACCTTTAACTTATTAAAAATATTTGTTATATATTTGCAAATCTTCCGATAGAAAAAAAAGAATATGCCCGTCAACTTGAAAAATGCTGACCGTCTTCCGGAAGACCCAGAAGACGGCCTCCCTGCGTCCCTGTATTTAGCCAATTAATCAATGACTTCTCAATAAAGGTCACATAATATGCCTGCTTTGCTTCACCCTTTACCTGTTGAAGTTTCACCAAGAAAAATTAAAAGGGCTCAAATGCCATTCAAACAGTGCTTACCCAATGTGCCTGTACCAGCAATTGTCACCAAAGGAACAGGATCCATCTCGAAGGTAATTTTTGCAAGGCTAAAAGCAAAAATAATCAGCTAAAAGTCTAAATGATATAAATATATAAATAACAAATCAATATTCTTAACTTTATGATTATGCATTCACTTACAAAAAAATAATAATAAAATAAATAAATAAATAAATAAATAAATAAATAAATAAATAAAATAAAAATAAAAAAATCTGCTTATCTTTTGTAGTAAAAAATAACAATCAATGTTGAGTTAAACTCAGTGATACTCTACATATGATTGTAAAAGACATTTTCTTTTTATAAGGCTCAAGCAGCTTCAGCATTTTAAGTGTTTTTATCATTATTCTCATGGGATTGTAAAGTCTTTGGGGATATAATCAAAAGCTACATACAAAGAAAAAAGAAAATTATATGTTAAGAATACCAAGTTTGGTTTTCTGATTAAAAGAAGGTGCATTACACCGCAGTCACTGAAAAGTGTTGAACATAATAAATATGGTATTTACCTTTTTGTCAGTTATATCGTGTGAGAAGTAGCAATCATTCCCAAATTTACAGCTACCCCTAGCGAAGTATCTGAAATTGCCATTTTTGGATTTTGATAATAAAAAATAACACTTGTGCTAAAGAAAAATGTCGATCCAAGTCTAACGATGTCCTGACACTAGTACAATGCATTATAACTGAAAATAATGTATTGAAGTTAACAGGTATAATATTTTACTATTTCATTATCACCGATATTACGATGCATTATCAACTTCAAAAATACCCAAACAAAACTAAACTCACTTGCAAAAGATGTGGCTCGTGTCGGGTGAAGAATACGATGATTTTCGAAAGGCGTGGTAGAAGAAAAACTCGTCATCGTCGCAGAACATGGCAGGCTGATCAGTGTCAGCAGTGGGCGTGGTAGCGACGGGGGCCGGAGGGAGACTGAAGGCACGGACCGAGGTCGGCAGCAGCTGGCTTTAAGGCGACTTTCTTGGCCACCCTTTTTGCTTACCAAATCTCTTGTCGGTCTCCTTCTCGACAGCCTCTGTCCCCGCGCTGTGCGTCCTCCTGGAATGAGAACGTTTATCTGAGGTATTCAAACTACGGCGCCAAATGTCACGTGCACTGCGATAATAATAAGGTGGCGACACCTATTGCAAGACGGACTTTACACGTACTGGTTGAATAAATGAGTGGATGGGAGGCGTTGAACTTTCAGAATTTTCTCGTGTCATTATTGCGGTTATGTCCTTTTTTTCACACAAGCAATGAGTTCATTAAAGAGTATTATAGAAATTGTTATAAATGTTGAGATCGAAATCAATATGCGAGAAGTTAATTTGACTAATTTTATTAACTCTTTTCGTCACGCACCTTTAATTGGGCGAATGCTTACATGATGCCGACAAGGGTGGCCATTAAAACGATAATAACTCTTCGTGTGAAATCTATGTTTCACAATAAAAACATTGTAAACAACTCATAGAAACATAATATATTCTGTTTTACCACAAAAACGGCGGTTATAGCTATTATTCTGATATCTGAGCAGACCACGTGAGCTCCATAGATGGCTATACTCTGTAAGAGCTTATAACATAAAACAAAACTTTTTAGAAAAAAAAAAAAAAACAGGGACTTACTTTGAATGTAGAAATGGATTCGTTAACCATGGGTAAGTATGTGAAAATTGTTGTTTACTCCGGGAAAATTAATTTTTTTGCCAAATAGGCCTACAAATATGTGGCGGAGGGGTAGGGGATGACCCCCACCGTGCCTACAGCTCTTGGTACATGTAAAATGGATTGAAATCCATATTATGGTGTAAAAGGCAAAATGATACATAAATTAGAATAGCCAAACAAGCTACTGTGTCATCCCTTTCTGTCTCTCTTTCCGCAAAAAGTGATACTTCAGTCACGTCAGTCACAAACACATTTGGTGTAATATTTACATCGTTTTGCCTAGCCCCATTATTTTCTCTGTTTTATATTATAACGCTCTCCAATATCACGGAAGGACATCAACGAATAAAAGGTGGAATAAAACTATTATGCAAATATTACACTAAATCTGTGCGTCACTGTTGTCAGTCAGGTGTTCGCTTTTATTTTTTTGTAATATTATTGCAAGAACAATAACCTGTTGCAGTAACGTAGTAAATGTAGCATCATGTCTTCTCTAACACAATCCCGCGCGCGTGATTTTCATTGAGTTTATTCAGTCGATCTATGCAAGATTGATTGCTGATCACTGAACAAGAATTATAGTGGCTGATAAAATGTGAATACTTTTGCCTTTATCTAGAAGCCGTTTCACTTTCTCTTATTATAAAATTAAGACAAAATATTTAATCAAAGCTTTCGTACGAAAAATGGGTGAGCAGAACGCCAATATGTAAATCAAGTGAGTATTTTTGTGAGAGGTGTTCGGGTAGGACAAAGGTCAGAAGGAAATGGTGCATATGGAAGTTTCATGCCACATTGCTACAATTTCCACATATTGTCCGAAAATTTGGCTCTGAAATACTGCAACAGTCTGTTGTAAGTACCACACAGATGATCTAAGATAACCTTGTTTGTTTTGCGTGGACGCAGTTTGCCAAATATTAGCATGGTGAACTTCAGGCATAATGGCCATGGGGAGATTTTAACTGAAACGAAAGATTCTCCCCCGTTTAACTAAAAAGTCGAAAATCATTTTGAAAGTAAATGATTTATTATCTCTTACTTATCCAGAGGGAGCGCATTCGCCTAGAAAGATGAAAGAAGAAATGACCTATTCCAGAGGTCCAAGGTTCAAAACTTTGCCAGTACAACGTAAGATAATTGAGCAGGTAACTTCACAAGCCACTACCTCTGTATTGCTGACAGTAGCAGTTTGTATTTTAAGTATCAAATATAGCCTGTTATTAAAGTTCACTAACTGCAAACAAATCTTTCTAGATACAGAATCAGACGATAGCAAATAGATTTGCTTGATTCTTATGAACGAAACGAGACAAATCTATTAACAGAGTAACTAACTCCCTAGATTTTATTTTTCATCGTCCAACCGGGTGTTTACACTACGTGTTTGGCGAGCACCACATGTAAATCCGTCTCCTCTTTTTTTTAGTTATATATATATATATATATATATATATATATATATATTATATATATATATTATTCTAACATGTTTTGAAATTATTATAATTATTTTTTTGTTGAGCTTCGAAGGGACCCTTTCTCCCTCCTCCAAAACCAATCTAACGAACGAAACGAAATCCCCATTCGCACCGTTGTGCTCTACAAATTACAGTAAAATTGTTCTCTTCTTTCGTTTTATATTTTTCTAACAAAGACGGTTATGTTATCCTAGACCTCCCCACCAAAATCCTGGATCCGTCATTGATCACGTGTCTCGATTATGATTATTTCGTTCTTTTCTCTTATGTGAACTAGATCATTCTGCCAAATGTTTTAATTAATTGCAATTAACTTCCGTGAACATCTGTGCAATCCGACCTCTCTTATACAACTCTCTTTTAGTATCGATCTTGTATCAATTAGTATCAATCAATGTTTTAATACAGTATGTTGTCGTGTAACATTGCATAGGCCTATATATATTATATAAATGAATGGAAATTATATTATTGTATAAAGTGTGTGGTTGTATAGAACGTGTTGGTTCAATGCACTCATGATTTTAAAGTTGGATAATGATTTATTAATATACTATGTTGCATACCAGTGTGGATTGCTCAAAGGATTATTTTGCTTTATCAAGTCCTTAAACATCAAATCGTGAATGTGTTTATCATTGTTTCATTTCAGTGACTCTTACCTACGGTTCACAAGGATACTGGAGTCCTCCATCAAAGACACCAGATTCATGTTCGACATCATGCGCACCCAAGCCAAGATTGTCTCGCTTGTCGAAGTTGGTTTTAATGCAACTAGCATTTTGTTCATGGAATTTTGACAGAAATAAGGGGAAAAAAGAAATGAACTAAAGCTACTAAAGCTATACGCTGGTTGAATACTATACATATGCTCCCAAGTCGCATTATCCTTTCATGGTGTTTTTGTTGTTCATTTGTTTATTCACTTGGGTCCCGAATGAGTTTTCGTCAGATCTCAGAACTAAAACATTAAATATTATCACTAATAACAAATGTTCGGCTAGAGTACTATGCTAGTACACATGTACGTCCGGTTTTCACTTTGGCAGTATTTTGGATAAATTTTTAATTGTTTGTTCATTTTAAATTAAATTCAAATGTTAATAATGATGACGTTTATTTCTAGAAAGAAGAAATATCTTTACTCCATAACGTTTAATACAAGTAGGAATTTTTTCGATGCGCACATTTTGTGCGTTCAGTTGAAGGAGAAGGCGAGATGTAAGGCCATTAAAACTTCAAAACACTCTGGGAATTACAGCATTATAAAAGTGACAAAAATGTACCCACGTTATTGTACAATTACCCACATGTATCGAACAACCTTCATAATACTGTATAGTGAATATGTGGTTGTAGCGTATTCAGTATTTTGGTGGTGTAGTGTAAGTGTACTGTAATAAGTAATGCAGCCATATGTTCAGTGCTGGGAAGGTGTCGAAAATGTTTGTATATAAAAAAAATGAAAGCAGGGGTTGGAAAAGAGCTAAATGTCCGATATTAATATTATTATTATTGCTGTAGCGGGTAATATGTTGAAAACAAAAGAAAAATTGTTTGGTCTTTCCCAGCATTGAGCCTATGTTTTTGTTGTCCAGGACTTTTTGCAAATATCACAGAGTAGAAATGGAAAATGTTTATCTAGAAAAATAACAGCGAATATAGAAACTATTTTATTTTGGTATTTTTTTTGAAAAGATCTATGTAGGACTGGCGTTTATATTTAAATTTTATTAAAAATTCTTATCAAATTAATTAGTTTTTTTTTTTTTTGGGGGGGGGGCGAGTATTCTCAATTATTTCGGTGATGTTTTATAGGTTGTTAACTTTTGTCAATTTAATCCAAATAAAATGTTAATATCTTAGGGGCAATTTACGGAAACGTTTTAGGAAAATCACATTAACATTTTATATATTTGGTACAGTATTGTTTAGCCTTTGTTACAATTTGGTCAGTTACTTGGAATTGGCTGAATCATTTTACAAATTCAATTTTTTTCGTAGCATTTTCTTTTTCTTAAAGTTTGACAAAAAATTTGCAGGTGAGCGTATTATTCAGTAAGACTGGTCTTGTACCTAGTACTTAATTAATTTTTTTGGTCGGGATCCGTGGGTTATTGACTTCGTTATTGGCTGATAGTTGCCAGTCCCACATATCCTGAAAGTTTATTTAGTGTTTCTTGAATACTGAACACCATTTTGAAATGCGATATCGTTCACACTGCGGAATTTGCAATCAATTATAATACAAATACATGAACGTCAACTTTGAACGAAAGTTGTAGAGTAATAGAGGGTTTATTATTCAGTTTGCCTTGTCTTTCAATTCTGGCCAAAACCCTAAAGATGTTATAAACTTCTCTTTTATAATTGTTGCAAGTTCTGTAAGGTATCCTTTTGTAGTTAACATTGTGTTACCATACATTGTTTTATTATCACGTGTTGTCATTTTGACTTGACCAACGTGAGTATAATTATTAATTTGTTATTGTAACACTGATTGTATATATATTTAGTGTATTTTTGAGTTTTTATAAATACTTTGTACTTTCTGCTCACGTTGAAATAAATCATTTGTCTATTAAATTAGTCGTTTAAATTGCTCATATGGATTTTTTTTAGCAAAAGGTAATTTGCTGGGACCTAGTAACACCCGAAATCGAACTCGGGGACCTTCTGGTTAGGAGGCAAGCGCGCTACCTACTCCTCCAAGTATTCCCACCCACCCTCCTCGGATAGACTTTCGTTTTATAGTAACCAAAGGAAAAAATTTATAGTCCTTCTATAGTACACCGAATTTCCACTTACCCAAGAAAGAAATTGAATCCCGATCCCAGTTTACCCCTTTGCTATGCAAAAGTTAGAGAAAATAAAACTTTTGAATATTTGAAAAGGCTTTTTATTAAAGACGAACAAATATCAGCTTATACAGTACAGTTATGTATTCATGTATGTTAAATTTTCTAACTGTAAAAACAGTTCTTAATATTTTAATGAATACAATGTTGAATGTTTGAGTATGTAATACAATAATATCTGAATATCTTACAAGTTACAAACCTTATTTCACTTGACAAATAAAATATCAACTACATTGCTTGCCTTATATTTTATCTTAATTGATATCAAAGAAAGTAATTTAAAATACAAGGACATTCACACAATTCTTCCTTAAAAAACAATGGTGGACCTGGATTCACCGACCCCCCATAATGGGGTATCTTAATCAAGAGAAGCAGGAACAGCAAATTTGAAGAGATGATCAACCCTTTTCCCAGATTCAAAAGTAAAACAAACGCGAGAGGCACATATTGAAATTGAGACTTTTATATGGCAAACATTCAACTTTCCTGGAAATTTCACCATGTTTTTCGTACCGAGTTACACCAAATACGAGTTCCAAGGTTCTCGTTTTTAATTCTCAATGGAGACAGGGAGCATGACGACTATAGAAAATAAATTTTGAACTCGATCTTTTCTTTAAATGCCGTAATTTTCTCAACTGTGATAATTGGAAATTGTAAAAGTTTCCAGGACCTTTATTAATGCTGCTTCATTTAACTTTTGCTATATAAAAGCCTTACCCGAGTTCTTTGTCTTTACAATAAATAATTGGATTTATTACGTTCAAAGAGAGTGACAGTTTCTTATATGCTTGGTGCAAACTGACGAGTAAAATGCTCGTAATTTAAAAACAAACAATAACCATCATCATATAGCTTATCACTTAATATATACTTGTCAATTCGTCATTTAAATGAATAAAAGAATGGGTCTACTTAAATGTATTCATAAGACCAAAAACTTGAGGCTATTTCTTTATCTCACTGATTACATTTGCCATGGATTCCGCCTGATGAAATCGTATACGATTTCCGGACTATTTTTTGATATTGTAAGTAGTTACGGGCTACGGCGAATGCGTTAACATTACGTGCGGGTGCCGTACCATTTCTCTGTAATGACTTTGAGGTCACGTGGGTAAAAAGTCGGGTTTTTCGGTTGAAAAGTGATCGTGCGGAGCCCTGTCAGTCTCGGTGCACTTGCTCTTCCTTGCGGCTTCAATACGTTGTCGGCGCAGCCCCCTACGAATTTTTCGCCCATGAGGTCAGGTTAAGGAAAATCTCAATTTCGAATTTATAAATTACACTAAGTTTAAAACTTCTTAACCATCGTTATACCTCCCAATACGCCAGGGAGGAAGAGAAAAAGACCAACAATTCCACTGAACAATGAGCGTATGGGGACTGTGCAATGCCATTTAAAAATTGTCTGAAGTTTAAGCTTGAAAAAATCGAAGAGGCTACGGAGACCGTTTCGCACGGCCACCGCCTGCCTCCGCCAAGAGGCAGAACGAAAAGGGATATACGGGCAGTACACGAGCACCATATACGGACATCGCATGGCATATGTAATCTAGAATTATATGAATTCTTTCTCTCCGCTACATATTAAAGTGAAAAATGTTAACTATTATATATAAAAAAAACGTTAAGGTGAAAATATGCAAATTTACACTACCAAAGACTCAAAGACGCTTGACCATTTTGATAAATTGCTTCAACTTTAAATGATCTTTCTTTTGTCTAATGACGAAAGTGTCAAATTGAACTTCAAACCATTTTTCTGTCCCAGCAAAACGCTTTCCTTTATAATGCATTTTATTCGCATTAGAACTAAAATGCCGGAAATAGTACCATTTCACAAATGTCAGCCCTGCAAATTTGAGGGAATGATGTGAAAAAAAAGATAGCTGATTCTTTATAGAATCACAGCCAGTTTTGTTACTGATGTTCACACTGTTTTAAAAAGCATTCAATATCTTATTTGCAAAAACGTTAAATTCGTGATATCACATAATAAAGAAAATATTTTAAGCACAAGTATGATTTTACATCTATAATTAGTTTTAATAAATGGTTTGAAGCTCATTCATTATTTGCTTTGAAAGCATATAAAAATGTCCTTTGACAGAGCGTTTGAATTAAAAGCGTGTAGCAAGCCCTTGACAATACGATCAAAATCCGTTTCAAACAGCATGTCGCCCATATACCTGAAAGAATATATAACTCGTCACGGAGAAACCTGTAGTACAGATAGAATTTGACAAATTGAAATAATACAACTTAATTTGTGAAATCGTGCCAAAAGTTGAAACAGAAGTATGCTGGAATACCTTTCATATGTACTTAAATTACTCTACCAACCGCTCAATGCACATGAACATGCGGAAATCTAGGCTGTCAAGCGGGCCATTCCACAACATTTTCCCACGTTAAACTTTAACTGTTACTGATTTTTTACACTATACCCAAAGAATTGCAATTGTTACGTGATAAGGTGACGGCGTGACGGACGAAGCAAAATCTTACGTGTGGGCAAATATCGGTGAATGGCCAAAACTAGTTTTCAGCATGAACGCATCAAAAAGCTTTTTAAGAAGCACAACATCTACATGTACCACCACTATTATCTTAAAACATTACATCGAATCTGTTATAATTAAAATATTCGTATACTTAGTATCCAGGCCACATTGCATCCACTTCCTGCTCACTAAAAACCGAAGAAATGACATCTCTTTCTTGGTTGGAGATTCAATTAGATTAAAGGGGGACCAGGATGAAGTGAGCGCCTTTTATATTCAGCAGTCACCATTATCTCACCGGTGAAACTCGGTTTACAATTTACTGAAATTAAAATATATGGGTCGCATTCATTTGTGTCCAACATCTTTCAAAATATACCTGCAAAAGAAAGATCCCGAACCCTAATCCACCCCCAAATAAAACGACCTTACGAAGGTCACTGGCTGTATGGTCCACTATATTTTACCTGAGCAGTTTTTGCCAAACCCGACCGTACGGCATCACCACCTGGAGGGATAATACATGACCTTTACATTCCTTCCATTTTTACAAAATTTCTGAGTTTATTCAAAATTAGCCATTATTCTTGTAATGGCCCATATAGCCATTTCATATCATTTCAAGAAAATAAAATAATACATTTACGACTGGGTTTTTAGTACTAGCACCTGTAAAAAAAACGTTACTATCTTTCTCCAATGTTATGTAGTCAAATTGCTGGTTTAGTTTTCCCCGTCCTTTTCAAACAAGGACCGTAGACAATTCTAAGAAATTACTTCGGTTAAAGTGCTTCTCAAGGGGATAAGGCGGCAAGTGGATTTATCGGTATCTGGTCTTAAAATACGAGTACGTAAATGTATAGGGACGTAAACGTATTAGAGCGCGTTACCTTTTCAAACGTATCTATCGAGACTCTTTCTTAGAGAAATGCAAAAAAATTTAAAATATATTTTCTACCTCGAGTTACAATACGTCTTGTGATTGACAGCTCTCAATCAAATTCATACAGTTTTATTCAACTTTGACGAAAGCTGTCAAATAAACGCGACTTTGATTGACAGTTATATAAACGAACGTCAATCACATCATTACACAGTTGAGCACAATGGTCGTCTAACACGTGAAATTCCAGCTTCTTACAGCCTTTGATTGACAAGGTGCCAATCAAACTCATTAAGTTTTGACAGCTGCTGTCAAGTGATGACAGTTTGATTGGCGGTTATATAAACAAACGTCAATCATCTTATGATGGAAGTACGCCGAGAGAATGCTCGCTATCTCCAGATATTGGTATAGTTTATTCAAAGGCAAACCTATGAGTGCCCATCAATTTCCATTAAAAATATAACATTTTAAGAGTATATATATAATTAAAGGGCCTTCCGTTTTCAAAACTAATTCTTTTGCTAATTTTTTTCAGCGTGTCTATAACGTGATAACAAAATACTTTGTTATTAACAAGTTTAAAGGGTCCAGTAAAGAAAAATGACTTTTTCTGGAGGCGATACACGTTTTTATTTTATTTTAAATTGTCCCGATTCCAAATATGGGCTGAAGAAAGGATGACTATTCTGCATTAGTTGGACGCATGCACACACACACACACACACACACACACACACACAGAGAGAGAGAGAGAGAGAGAGAGAGAGAGAGAGAGAGAGAGAGAGGGCTTCCCTCAAAAGTAAAATCTACACATCATTCAAGGTGCTGTAATCAGAGAAATTTATTTTCATCGAAGCTGATATTACTGTAGTTAATTGAATTTTGTTCGGGTTTTTTAAACCTTTGCACGGCTTAATGTTAGACATGGATCAATACAATTTTTGGATGAAAAACAAAGATATTACTGTGAACAACTCTTGAGAGGTTTTAATGTGAGTCTTATTCCCGTTTAAGAAACATTGCTTCGCATTTGTAAATATATTGTTGGTTTATTTTACTGTCATGTTGGGAATGTTTACTAATTTACTCAACCTTTAAATTAATCTATCAGTGCCGTTAACTATAAACTAAAGGTAAAAGGTGCTTATGGGCAGGCTCATTGGTATGGTATCTAACTTAGGGCCATCAAGTGAGGATATTCGTACCTGTAAATGAGTCATATTTTTATTTATACATCACTCTAACTGCCCACCAATGGAATGAATCTGATCTTGATTCCCCCCCCCCCTCTTGAATTCTTACCTGAATTAAAGACAACGAAATGTATAAAATATCATGGCACCATAACATCAAACTGAAAATGTTGATCTCAGCTACCACAATTTCCTGAAAATTTATAGTGATCTTTAGTCAAAATCCGTATTACAGTTATAATTGCCATTGGTTGAATCAGTGCCCATCCCCCCAAATGTATTACTTGAAAAATTGGATGTCACCCTGCTTAAGACAAAATGTTTTATCTCGAAGGAGGCTCGTAAGAACGCAAGAATATTAAACGTGTGTGAATGTATGTGTGTGTTTGTGTGCGTGTGTATGTGTATGTGTATGAGCGCGCGCATGTGCGTGTGTGTTTTTCCGCTCGCGTGCCTGTTGTGACATTATCCATATATAACAAAATCAGCGGACAAAGTAAGTCCGTTACTTTTTCTTATTGGGTATATACAGGATATGGAGCATAATGGAACCCGTGTATAGGTTCCGATTTGAAAAGAATATCTTGTGCCACATCTCATTGTATTATTAACTATAGTTCTTAGCCATGGAATATTCCCAATAAAACTATCCTTCTACTTAGATCAATCCAACTCCGCGGGGACTCTCGCTGAATGCAATCAGATAAACAGATTAACACGCTTCTTTTTGTTTCCTACGTACTCGTACAATCACAATCTCCATTCTGTATTTTTTCAACGCTAGGAGGAGGCGTGTAAATCTGATTGCACTGAGTTGGGTAGATCTACGTAGATCGATAGCTTCAGACTGTCGCGGTGTGCCCATGCGTGTTCTTTATTAGCATAAATAAAATGTGTTTAACGTTTTAAAAAGTTTACATTGAAGATTCACATCAAATCACTGTATAGAACTTTAAGAAGCAATTGGGTTATTATACTGATGCATCTATGAAGATCTACTATAAAGATGTAATATCTAAACCAAGCTGTCGGCCTCTAGGCCTTCTTCAGGGATTTTTTTCAGAAATGTTCAAGCAGAATATGACTCATATATACCTCGGTTACTTTCCTGCTTGTTTTTCTTGGTAATTATAACATGGCTGCCTTTAAGTCGATAAATAGCCAGCAAACTGTGAAATGTGAAAATGTAAAAATGTGAAGGATGACGTGTCAAAAAAAAAAAAAAAAAAAAGAAAGTCGATTGAATTGTGCGAAAGTCCTTTCAAAACAAAACATCGCACTCTGAAACCAAATAAGCTGAATAATAGCCAAGTTGTATGCTGTGCATTTACATGGATACCCATCATTATTAAGTTGGCCATATGAACTAAAGTCCATATTTAGGAATATGGACTATTAAACATTTCATCTGTCAGGAAAATTGAAAAGATGTGCAAAAGCAATAAAATTCCCTATAGGGTTCTGTCGTAATTGAACCCAAAATCCAAATCCCCTTGGCGACAACACTAACATGGGCACGTATCATTTTTAAAATCCTTATATGGATGAAATATTGACAAATATACGAGTAAAAAAATAAGAAAATTCTATCAGACAGATATATTATAACAGTATGGGTTATGGGACCAGGGTTTAGCTAGCATCGTGAATGCGTGCTGCACGTGATGAAGAAAACGAAGGCGAAATGTGTGTGTGTATGTGTCCATGTGTGTTTTTTGGGGGGAGAGGGGGATAAGCATTCAGAAAACATAGCGGTGGGGGTGGGGTATCCGCAGCCCCTTTACATCCCTGGGGTTGGAACCCCCTCATTCAGGGGGTGGGTGGAGTGGGGTGGGGTCCTCTTAGCTCCTTAAATCCTTGGGGGTGGGGCAGGGTATCAAAGCATGTCCTGCCTTCCGGAGCGTGGGTTCCCCCATCCCGCTTCTTCCCACGCTTATGACTGATAATGTTAAAAACACGGGAGGTGGCTAGCCCCCCCCCCCCCCTCCTCAATACTGCTCTGACGCCTCTGCTATAAATCACTGGATACTCAGTGGTTAAATCTACACTGCGCGAGTCACAATGCCTCTCTCTCAGAGCGAGAGGAACCCAATGGTATACTATGCTAGGGTTCTGGCAAATGTGTCAGTGGTATAGATAGAATACGGGAAGACTTGGCTAAGTCAGAGTGCGAGCACCAAAGAAAGAAGAATGGATCTCAAGTCCACGGCGTTGTTTTTGATTTTGGTGTTAATCCATTTGACAATTTCAGAGTCCAAAGCCTCCAGGTGAGTGGTGGATAAATACTGGTGACATTTGTTGAACAATTCAAGTAACCTGGGAATATTTTATTATTTACTAAATATTGCGAAAGGTACAGTGCTGTGTAGTTGATGAAAGATGGTAAAACATGCTTCCAGATGGTAAGATGGTTCACCCGATTTCTCGGAGATGCCTATATAAAAAAATTCAAAATTGATGAAGTATTATTATTGTTTTATGTGGAATAATAATAATATGTTAATATTTTGTTCGAAAATTATCCACCAAGGTTACTATATATAGGACTGTTGTTAAATTGTATGGTATTGCCAGTGCAGAGTACCCTCTACCAGGGTGGCAGATATTATTGGAAAATTTTCAAAAAGCAGATAATGACATGACTGTCTATTTATCTAAAGACATATCTGTGGATATCTGGTGAAAAATCAGCCTGTCGCCCTGGTAGAGGGTAAGTGCAGAGTCAGAATTTGCTTTAAGGTCGTTGCCTTTTATTCTTCTAAATTTAGAATAGTCTAAAGGGGCCCTTGATTTACCGGGTGGTCCATAAAACATTCCTAACCTCTTAGTATCAAAGGAAAGGAAAATTGATTGACTTTTGTGTCTAGGAACATAAATTGCTAGACTCAAGACAATTACATTGTTGATATTTAAAAGCTATCCAAATGTATACTTTAATGGATGTTTTTTATATTTTAAATTGACATTTAAATCAATTTAATACCAGACTGGGCATGTCCATTCAGTACTCGTTATTACTCGTTATTAAAGTTGGTTGAATCTTATCTTGATGTATCTCTCTCTCTCTCTCTCTCTCTCTCTCTCTCTCTCTCTCTCGGACTCTCTCTTTTCCTCTTTTTTCTTGCTTGTGGAGGTACATGTGTACAGAATATATTAATGGAGCTAATCAAAATAATGCCAACTGTGTGTGTGTGTGTGTGTGTGTGTGTGTTTATTGTGTGCACCCGTTTCATGTTACTTTTTTCTATTTTTCAAGATGGGATGATGTCCAAGTAGTATTTCATGTCCACCTAGTGTTTTCCCGGCCTTCCTGACTACAGCGTAGTGTGTTGATCAACGTTTTCGCATCAACACAGGGGTGGTCTTCCGTAAATCGATGGATAGAAAAAGTCAATTGAATTTATATGATCGATGCCTAACATTTTGTTGTTTTTTTATATCTACAACCGTTTTTCATGTCTGTTCGTGTTGGCTAAGGGTCTTTAGCGGAAATACCACAGCAGGCAACCGGTTCATTTAGTCTTAGGTACAGGTATACAGGGCGAAATACTGTACAGATACGGTTTTTTTCTACACTTCTGCATCGATGGCCAATGTCAACATGTATTTTTCTTTCCTTCCAATACTGTAATAATACTGTAATAATACTGTAATAATTTGATACCTAGAAAAAAAAAACGTTATAAATGTAATGCCTTCACTCAGCTTAGCGAGCCTTGCACTTCGTTGGTTCTTCCTGCTGCGTTACAAATATTACTGTTATTGATCACCTTTTAAACGTGTATTTTCCCATCAATGAATCACAAATAAACTCGATCCACTTTCGAGCCGATGACACTAGCAGGCATTTTTTAGTAGGAAATTAAAATTGCTATCTTTGCTTCCATCTACGATTGTGCACATCATTGCATACCTCGCATAGAGCAGAACTTGCCTCGTGTTCACTGATATTCCGGGTGCGTGTTCCATTCGACGAGATCAGAGTAAAGGTCGTGGCACCTGCCTGGAATGAGATTGGCAGGATAGGTGATTGCAACCTGGTTGCCTTAAAGCCAAAATTTATGTAATTTTCCCCAGACTATTTAATTACAAGTTATGCCTATGAGATATAGATTCTGAAGACGTATTGGTCCATGAACCGATCGTTTGCGGAATTACAGTGCAATATATAAAAGAAACATGCTTTTCCATCAGTCTAAGAGTGCATTCCCATATATTTAGATCGATCCATCTCGATCCACCTAACTCCCTGGGGGTTCACGCTAAATTGCTGTCCCCTTACAGCTTTTAGTAGGCGGGACAGACATTTAAGCCGACTAAACTGACAGTAATCTAGTGAGACTCCCCACAGGGATTGATCGATCTAAAATCTGTGGGAATGGGGTCTAAGTGTGGGTCCTGCCCCTCATGTCCCTATTACCGCCCTGTGGGCACGTGCCATTTTCTGGTGCAGTAACTAGTGTCGGTGAAATGAGATGTTTCCGTGGATGATATATATGGAATGTGGATTTGTGGGTCTTTTCTGTGTGTGTGTGTGTGTGTGTGTGTGTGTGTGTGGAGGGAGGAGGGGGGTCTTGCCGCATATAAGAGGCAGGCCTGTAGCCAACAATTACAAAATGGGTAATTACAATTACAAAAAGGGGGGGGGGTCTTTTTCTGGAAAAGTGGACCTTTTACCATGAAACCTTCGTGTACCTAGACAAAATTTTATCCAGAGGGGACATTTTCCTGTCAAAAAGGATGGTTCTTTCGAACCCCCCTCCCCCCCCCCCCCCCCCCCCCCAAAAAAAAAAAAAAAAAAGATATTGAATTCATCGAACACTAAGACCATTACATGAGCCTGGCACTTTTTACCCTCTGATATCAGGGGCCTCTAAAATAGTATA